GTGATATAACATCGTTGATGAAAATTAAAAACAACAATGGACCGAGATGTGACCCCTGCGGGACCCCTGAAATGGACAGATACATATTAGAATGAAATCCATTCACCACCACAATCTGAGGTCTTTTTGACAGGTAACATTTAAACCACTCCAAAAGTGAACCATTAATACCGATCATCTCGAGTTTAGACAATAACACTAAATGAGAAACCTTGTCAAAGGCGCTGGTAAAGTCGGTATAGATTGTATCCACCTGCAAGCCTCTATCAACCTCCCGTGATACCGTTGACACAAATAAAGATAAGTTAGATTCCACAGAGCGACCACATCTGAATCCGTGCTGACTATCGGTTAATTGGTTATCAACATGAGTGAAGATGATGGGGTAGATTAGGGACTCGAACAATTTGGGAAAACACGACAGAATAGCGATTGGTCGATAATGTATGATCTTGGATTTGTCTCCCTTTTTATGCAAAGGCATAATTCTTGCACTCTTCCAGTCCTGCGGAAATAACCCTTCCGAGAGGGAGCGATTGAAGATCATACATAACAGGAGAGAAAGAGCGGACCCACATCTTTTAACAAATACAGGGGGAATATTGTCAGGACCAGAGCCCTTCCGCACATTCAATCCTTTAATTTGTTTCAATACTTCCTTTTCGCTGAACTTGATATTAGTAATAATATTATTGGTGATAGTGTCCGTGTTAGTGACAGTAACATTATTGTTGATAGTGTAGACTGAGGAAAAGTGCTTTGCAAAAAGATTAGCAATGTCCGAGCCTGATGTTGCAGTTACATTATTAAGACACATTTCAGCGGGGAAGTCAGACATACTACCGCGTTATCTTTTATGTATCGCCAAAATCTTCGAGGATCCTTTGAAATAGCAGCCTCTGTTTCAGCACAATATTTACCATAACACTCACTAATTAATTTATGACAACGTCCTCGGATTATATCATACTCATGCTTGTCTCTTGGGTTGTTATATTTATATATGCTATACCATATACATTTTTCAAATGGTTTTAATTTGAAAAATGAGAAAACTCACATGCTCACACGTCCTTGCCGCTCGACCTAAGCAAAATTAACCTTATTAGTACGGGAAAAATTTGTAATAGAGCTGAGGCAGTATCGACTCTTAATTAAAGTTGATTAAATTAATGAATAAATGAAGTTATAGAATTAAATATTGTTTATTGCACGTTAAAAATTACAATGACAAACCGGCATAGCAACAAGTAACTGAATGAGGTACAGTATCACATGCGGCTGCTAAGCATCAATTTCTTCCAAGCAAAGTTAAGATGGAAATTTAGGATTTGCAAAGACCATCTAACACCGGCCGCATAGTAAAATCGTTTTACCAAGCGAAAAAACTGTTGACGCAAAAACCGGATCACTTCCGCCAATTAGCGAAGCATATTTTTTATTACTTTAGGGTGTTTTTACCCTGTAGCCTATGGGATATAATAATATGTGAGGGTACTCTAATGTAGGGTGTCAACCGGTTGATTTAGTATAGAGGGTACCTAATTGCTCGGGAGTATACCATAATTTCCATAACATTTTTTTAGGTTTAACAGCTCTGTCATTTGTTAGACAAACAAAATAATCAAAACAAACAACGCACTCATTGCCCCGCACTAGGGAAACCCTGTATCGCGAGTGCCATAGATACACACATAGGTAGACTACCACAAATTACACACTACGTAGACCATACAAATATTTCCCCCGGTCAGGGAATTCAACCCGGAACCTCTGCATGGTGGTTCAGCATGGTAACCGTTCGACCACGGAGGCAGTTAAACAAATGAAAATCATTTTCCTATAGCCACTCACTCTCTTACTCACTGAAATTTACTATAAACTAACAACATTTATTTACATGACTTTTTAATATATTTTTTTTTGTAATAGAAATACCGACTTCAAAAGTTCGTGCAGTTATATCTATTTGCCAAGTTTTATTGAAATTGTTTACCGGAAAGTGCGCGTAACCGCTTTCATCCCCTAGTTTGCCACAATTCGAATATTTCATTCAAATTTAAATGGGACCAATACTGAGGCACACTCTATTCAACAAAAAAGAATTATCAAAATCGGTTCGCAACTAGAGGAGTAACATATTATATACAAAAGATACTGTCGAATTGACAACCTCCTGTTTTTGAAGTCGGTTAAAAAAAGTTTTTAGTTTTGTTGTACTAGCTGACACTTTTAGATCTGCATTTGGTAGAATAAGTTCAAACGTGCAAGCGTACGCCGCTACGACTTCCACCCCCGTCCTGCACAGAGTTAGTGCCGTTTAGAGCGATCTATTTAAAATACATTTATTTTTGTGTGACAGAAAAATCTGTTGAATTATTAAAAGTCATGCAACTAAAGTTGTTGCTTCTGATGTTAGTAATAATATATGCGAGGTTGTTACTATTACACAAATAATCCTGTATAATTTCTTCCATAAACTTTGTGTTTTTTAAATAACTTAAGTGATAAACACGATTTTACCATTTCTGCCCCCATAGTATGATACTTAATTACTACGCATGATAGTCGAGACGCGCGCGATAAAATTGAAATACCTAAGCGCGCGCTATTGGCTATCTAAATTAGATCTGATTGATACGGCCAATAGCGAACGCTTATTTCAATTTTATCGCGACTATCATGCTTAGCCATGAAACGGGGGCAGATGTGGTTTTATACTAAGGTTTTAAACTAAAAACAAAACAAATAGAACCCCCATTTTGTAAAAATTGACTAACATAACGCACAATAGATTCCTTCCAATTCCCCCTGTAATCTCGTCACTTGTACCAGGGTGGCATGAAACAAAGGAGCCTTAATGTCCCTCGACTTTCATTAACTGCCACTTGTTCTGAGTATCGGATGTCCTATAAGCTTGGTTGAGGGGTGATTTTAAGTATAGTTAGATAAACTACTTTACAAGAAGTTTTTGTTCAGATTTTTTTTATAATACCAAATGTGGAGTGACACACCTGTCCACAACAGTTACAGTGCCACTCAGAGCTTTAAATCGCAAAGATCTGAGGGGCACTGCCACTGCGCCCGTCACCCTGAGATATAAGTTGACAAGTCCCATGTGCCTGTACTTTTGACCCTTACCCTTCAAAACCGGAACGCAGTAATGCTCACCTTTCACAAGAAGTTCTATTGCAACTACTTTTTAAAACACTTTTTGCTGTTACATAAATGGTTATTTTTTAAATAACCTAAAACTACTTAACACTACAGTCTTGTCTTTATAAAGGAGTAATTTGCTACAGTTCTTTTTGACAGTAATTATTTTTCAGTCATGATTACTTTCTAAATAACCTGAAACCACTTAAAATAACATCAATAGAGAATAAATATTTCGCAATAGCTTATTTAGATTACTTATAATGATTTTTCAGCCATTTTCATTGCTCCAGGATTATATTTTAATAAACTGCTTTTTAAATGGCTAAAATATTTCAATCGTAGGCACCTATACAAACACAATTAGGTACCATATTATTTTAACCGACTTCAAAAAAAGGAGGAGGTTCTCAATTCGACTGCATGTCTTTACTTTTTTGTATGTAAGTTACGCGCTAACTTTGTGTACCGATTTTGATGATTCTTTTTTTTGTTGGAAAGAGCAGAAGTGTCCCATGTGTCCCACCTCTAAGGGTGGCAAACTAGGGGATGAATGACTTTTGAGGTCGGTTTTTTAATACTCTGTCTGTACTGAGATTATTATTAGAGACAATAATTTGTAAAAAATACTTAATAGGAAATAATAATTTGTCCCCAATGCACTCAAATTTCAATAAATAATACGCATAGTCAAATACGAAGAGTCCCGGGATTTGTACAAGGGAATGTCCACGTTTTACTTCAGTATAGCTAAATTAAGGCTTTTAACAGATTGACTGCCTGTTTGCAGTTAGTGCGTAAAGTCGTAATCAACTTCATGCAGCCGAGACCTCGACTGCGAGAATTTGTAACAACTTCATGCATTAACTGCATACAGTCGATCTTTGCTGCATGAACTTGGTTCCGACTGCCTTTACATTTATTAACCGATTTCAAAAAAGAGGAGATTCTCAAATCGATTGTATTTTTTCTGTATGTATGTCACGCGATAATTAGTGAACCGATTTTGAAGATTCTTTTGGTTTGGTATTCGTTTTTATTGGACCTATTTAAAGAAAATGTTTTCTAAGGGTGGCAAACTAGGGGATGAATCCGGTGTCGCGCACTTTCCGGTAACCGATTTCAATAAAACTTGGCAAATAGATGTAATTCCATAAACTTTTGACGTCAGTTTTTTAGTACTCTGCACTGAAATTGTTTTACTTCTATTAGATTAAGTTATAATGAAATAAATTTGTCTTATCTTATTCAAACGTCAGTATTGATGTCAGTAGTAATGAACAGTTATCTACCAAGATCATTAACATCATTTAACCAACTCAATGATGACTGTTGCATACATTGACTTACAAATAAATGGACGACGGGTCTAAAACAAAAACCACAAAAAAAATGTCCCAAGTCAACCTATTTAAACGCAGTGACATGTAAAGGAATATGAAGAAGCTAGAACGTTGATTTAAATTGTAATGTCATCGCAGTATCGCGCTGTCAGTCGAACAAATGAAGACTAAAGCGGAGTTTGACGCTCTGTATACGATTTTAACGCCTTACAAGTTCGGACACTTTTTAGCGCGTCCATATAATTGTAAGTGAATGGTTGCATAGATCTTTACTGTAATAGCGTCACAAACTAATAACTTGTTTTCGAGTGCCTGATAACGCGATTGTTGTATTCTCCTTGAAATGTCATTTACTTGCTTATGGTCGTGTTATTTTCTAATGTTCATATGTGGAAGCTTTTAATTGGCATCTGATTATTTATATTTAAATCCATATTGTAAAAGTAGCTACAAGCTCCCCTAAGATAATAAAATAAAAAGGCAATGTTTGATTGTTTACAGAGTGGCGACGTTGACGGGGTATGAGCCTCAAGATCTAATCGAAAAGACTCTGTACCACTACATCCACGGGACTGATGTACTGCATATGAGATATTCACATTGCACATGTAAGTTATTCAATATAGTAGCAGTAGAGCTGCTTGTGAAAGAGTTCGTCCAGGGAAGTACTGCCACCTTACCTATTTCTACCCCTAAGCAGTAAAGTGAACAACACTGCGTTTCGATTTTGAATATTAAGGGTGCTGGTAAATTACAGACACTTATCAACTTATGTCTCTGGGTGACGGGCGCAGTGACAGTGCCCCTAAGAACTTCGCGATTTAAGCTCCGAGTGGCACTGCAACTGTTATGGACAGGCGTGCAGCTTACCATCAGGCGCACGACTTGTTCGTGCCGTCACTTGATATTATAAAAAAAAATTATATCTCTCTCTCGTGAAGACTCAACTTCAACTTCACGCAGTCGAGGTCTCGGGTGTATTAACTACAAACATGCAGTCAATCTGTTAGAAACCTTATGGCGACATGAAATAAAACGCTTGTAGAATGTCATATATCAATAGTAATTATCTTTAATTTTGTTACAGTATTAACCAAAGGGCAAGTTACCTCTCGGTATTACCGCTTTCTGACCAAATCCGGTGGCTGGGTGTGGATGCAGAGCTATGCCACAATTGTCCATAACTCGCGTTCCAGTCGACCGCACTGCATTGTCGCCGTCAATTACGTACTCAGGTACTTTATTTCTGTAATTAATTAATGATTTTTTTTTTTTCACCTCTCTAGCTCGGAAAGGCTTTCTTTCTCATTAGAAATCTGAGCGTAAAAGCGTTTTTTCCACGCTAGCGTGGAAAAGGTTTTTGAAATTCGAACTTGACGATGGGCTGTGGTGCACCTAATTTTTCTTTCGATGAAAAAAAAACATACTAACACGTTCAACTACGCGATTTGCCGTAATATAAATCCGTTGGTATAATTTATTTTAATTACTGTTGACATTAAATTGACAACGACGACTAATTTTGTTTATTAAATATATAGTCCACGTGTTTTTCTTTCATCTACCATTTTCGATGGTGATTTTAAAGGTAAAAAGTTTTGTGTTTCGCTCGGCAGCAAAGTTGTTTTGCGTCTCGTGATTTGAGATTCTCGCTACGCTCAGGCTGCCATTACACGAGCGAAGAGAGTGGTTCAAACTTCTAATATCAAAGCGAATTTTTCTTCAATAGGAATTAAATCTTTGTATTAATCGACTCATCCGTCGAACAAAGTTCTATGTGCAAGACTACTTGTTCTCAGAACAGCACATTTCGTTCGTTCTTCTTCGCTGTGGATGTCAGATCGACTGTTGCTCGATTTTATATTTCCGAAATGAAATAAGATACATAAATTCTCAAAACACCTTTACGTAGGCCTTAGTTTGAATAAGGAAATTATTCTCGTAACGTGCTTATCCTCTTTTCGCTATATTGTCACATCGGACTATGTTCTTCGGATGAGTCGTAATAATTATAACAAACTAGTGGCGTAATTTCACCAAAAAATAAATTAATAAACTTATTATTATAACAAATTTCATTTATCATTCACAGCGACATAGAAGAGAAGCACCAGATCCTTAACATCGAGCAATGCGCACCAAAGCACGACGCGCCCACGCCGTCGCACATCACCACGCCCACCATCCCCCACGTACGACATCCCGAGAAGATCACCAACGACGACTATAGCGCGGATTCCTACAACTACCCGGAATACAACATGCCTGGCCTTTCCTCCGTACCTTCGTACGTAGGAGAAGACTTCGACCACCAGAACGGATACCACGAGTTGTTTTACAACGAAAACTACCCTGAACAAGAAGTGTTAGCTAATAACTACTATCCTCAAAACCAGAGGCCTTTCTCGGCCAGCTCCAGTTCGTGTAGCTCCATCGAAAGTTCAGAGGTAAACCAACAGTATAACTATACCAATTTAATATCTTTTTACGGGCATAATGGCCAACAGAATGGTAGGGTAGAAAATTTTCAGGGTAACTTTGGTAAGGTGACACCGAGCCCCAATATACAGGAAGGGGGTTACACTAGTGTTATTGTAGATAACACGCAGCAATTTCATCATCACGGCGGCAGTGTCAATGAGTTTGTACACTGATAGATGAAGAACGAGAGCTAAACAGAAGCTCTGGAAATCGAAAAATATTGAAACTTCCTAACAAAATTCAAAAAGTGTCGAAAAATCTGGAACCTTCCTTACAAAATTCAAAAAGTCGTCGAAAAATCTTGAACATTCCTTCAAAAATCATTTTAGGTACCTTTTCAAGTCCAAATCATATTAAGAAACATTGGTCATAATTGACAAGCGTATAGAAGTGGAATCGTGCTCGTGTATGCTGTCTCTTTCTCTCATATCACTTTTGCAACATGTGTGAAAGAGAAAACATAATCGGCCCGCTGCGACTCTCTATAATTATGTTATTTGGTTTATGCCATCCCGTAGTCATTTTCTACGAGGCGAATATACAGGGTGTTAATAAAAGGTTCTGTGGTATCTCGACTTACGACACTGAATCATTTTTTCTTTAGAAATCATATTTAATTCATGAAAACGCCGCTGAGATCACCGCTCCGGGTCGTCAAGCGGTCACGAACCAGAATAATTTAAAACGAAGTTTTTTTTAACATCCTGTTTATATGTGATGTAATGTAAATAATTGTAAATATATTTTTTAAATAAGTTCTTTAATATTATAAAATTTTACGTGAAAATGAAGTGTATCTGTCAGTTTGAGGAGATTACAAACTGTTAAGGCCTTTTGATAATGCCGCGGCGGCAAACTTAGGTGTAAGGTTTAGACTGGGCAACAAATCTCAAATAAGGAGCTAAATTAAGCACGAAAATTGAGGAAATAACATACCTACTACGTGCAATAATATTGCCATTATAAAATCAGATAATTAAATTTCGAATTTACTGATTGATCACTGTACTCCGCAGTCGCAGGTGGCACCTTCTAAGTTGTAGGCAGGCAATAATACTCCAGGGTTGGTCAAAAACAAAAGAGTTTAGTGTGCCATAAGTGTCAATGTTGCCAGGGCCCTTGAGTCGAAAATTGTATTTATTGTATTACCTGAAACATTCTAAAAACACAGTCGGAATAAAACTAATAATAAAACTTCAAGGAAATAATACACAAGAAGTGGACATTACTACCGTCTGAAATTGCGATAAAAATCAATTATGCTCTATTGGTGTAATATAAAAAGAAGTAGTAGGTGAAATATTAGTTATCTACTGCATTTTTGCCATTACGCCACTAGAATTCTTTTAAAATCCAACTTCAGCTTTCTAGGTGTGCAGTTTTATCCCACGATGCAATAAAGCTATATCGAGAATTCGAAAAAGTAGTTAATTAACATTTTGTGGTCTTAGCCACTCCATGATATTTCTTGTATCAATATGTAGACATTTATCCACTCATTTAGAACACCCTATTCCAATTGGCTATGAGCAGTAAACGTATCAATGTAAATTACACCTAACGCCATCTAGCGATAACAGTCCGGAACTCGATTAGCTCCGAAAATAGTACCTACACTTAATAAAATGTAAGAAAAGAAAAAACTTTAAATTAAACGTTTCAAGTAAATTTAGACTTTAATAATATCAAATACTAGACAATAATAGCACGTACATGTAATCAAGTAATTCTGTAAATAAATAATAGATTTAGTCGTTTGAATTTCTACTTATATAGTGACGGTTTAAAAAAAAAATCAAAGTGACTGGTTGCTCGAGGCCATCAACCGCGCCGACAATGATTGCATTAAAAAACATACACCGGTTATTCATCAATTGTTATTACACAGGATAATTTGTAAAATACTAACAACTTCCCAGTTACCTATCACTAGTCCGAAATGACATTTTCCAGAATTAACGTTTGCTCGAATTTTCATAACCTCGAAAGTAATTTTGAGAGGAATATGTTTTTTCTTTTAAACCTAACTTAACCTAACCTAACCGAACCTAAATATATAACAATCTTCCGGAAATTATAAAAAATGAACAAAATAACAAGATTTTCTTTAAAAACTTAAAGAATTTTCTGATAAATAAAAGTTATTATAATGTAAAAGAGTTTTTAGAAGATAAATTTGGTATCTGAATTTAGTAACTAGTCGATAATAAATATAATAATATAAAGCTGTTGGCGTTGGTATATATCAAATTATATATTAGTAAGTGTAACAATTATGAGACTAGTCCTCTCTTCTACTATTTGCTGTGCCCTGTTCAGGGTCCATAATTTGATCTCAATATATGTAAAACATCTGTAATGTACATTATGGAATGCAAATAAATAAATAAATAAATAAATCGAATCTTTGCGATAAACATCCTAAAAATTCAAAAAAATTCAAAGTTATAATTTGGTTTCTGGTGTAGTAAAAATTCGAGGAAACGTTATTTCGGTAAAAAAACTCACCAGGTGGACGACTTGTTCGTCCCGTCACTTTGGTATAGTAAACAAATCCTTCAAGAACTCGAACCAGTGACTGTCTCCATTTGAGGTTTGAGTCCTATAAAATCGGAGGAATTTTTCTTTATTTCCGATCTCTGTATTGAACATTATTACCAAAGTATGTCAAAGTATTAACAAATTAGGTTCATCTAAATCCAAGCATTATAGTACTTCGTCGAAGATAGTGCAATTACGCGTAAATAGCATTGGATTATGAATTTCCATTTCGGTAATTTAGTGGCCAAATCAAATTCGCATAAATGTCGTGGCAAGCAAATTAGCGTGATTTACGGGAATATATTGTTATCAGTCCGTAGCCAACATAAATTAATGCTTACTGTGCAAAAATGAAAATCGTAGCCATTGTAATACTAAAGAAATAACGTTAAATCCCTTTCCTGTAGTAATTTGGTTTAACGCAGACACGCGCTTTTTACCAATTACTACATATGCGGATTTCTACTATATCCCACGACTTTTCATTAGTTGCACAATTTTTTGCTGTAATTTGTCATCTAAAAACAGGTCTCATCACAGCTTCTTTGTTTATACATTTTATCTATAATTAAAAATAAACCGAACTTACTTTGTGGCAATAATAATTATCATTTTAAATTATCTGGTACAATATTGATTGTTTTTATTACTTATTACCTGATTATTTGATATTATTATTTTTATTTTTATGATTTATTGAAGTTAAAAAGAAAATTTAAGGAACTTTTCCACCGGCGAGGCGAGACGGGAGTTGAAATATCTGTTGCAAAATTTCAATTGTCTCCTAGCACATCTTCGGTAGATTGACGAGGATGCGTGAAACGAGAATTTAAATATTTATTGGCGTTATATTGAACCAAGGGTTCATATTAATAATTATTATTGATAATTATCAATAATCTTCGTAATAATAAAATTAATTGAAACAACAATATGCTGCCGCTAGCAATATGTACGTGTCAGAGACGTATCAATCAAAATCAAAAAGTCAATCTCAAAACATAAAGACACAAATCAAATCTTTGTCCCGAAGATTTTTCTTCGTGTTTATTTAGTTTTCTCGCTGTTTTTCATTTTTATTAAAAAATGATAAAGACAAAACTGAATCAGCGTGGATATTGGATATTTTTTCAATTCATTTAGTTCACCTCCATGGTCGAGTGGCTTGCATACTGGTTTCCATGGCGTCGCCGTCCCTAAGGTCCCAGATTCGATCCCCGGCCGAGTGTAGGAAAACTAATTTTTCTATATTGTCACGGATCAGGGTGTTTGTGGTACTGTCGCTGTTTCCGATTTCTATAACACAAGTGCTTTAGCTACTTACTTTGGATCAGAGCGACGTATGTAATGTTATTTAACATTTATTATATTTATTTATGGCAATAAATAGTCTTGCATGAAATAGTTGTTTACAGGTATTCCTATTAAAATAGAGTTATAGTGCCAGCAGTTTATATATTAATATTTTCTTTCATATTATTCAATAAAACTAAATATTTTGAACATTTTGACGCCTGATTGAATGACAGGCACATGGGAGTTGTCAACTTATGTCTCGTGATAACGGCCGCAGTGACAGTGGCCCTAAGATTTTTGCAATTTAAGTTCTGAGTGACTGCAACTGTTTTGGATAGGTGTGTCGTACCAAGCGCACTTGGTATTATTTAAAAAAAACCCCAATTACTGCCAACATGGAGTTATAAATTCTGCAACGGAAACACGATTCACGCGACGCCTCGCTTCGCCAGTGGAAAAGGTCTTAACGCTCACTGCTGCACCTTACTGCTAAGCTAAAATGCTGAAAAAAGTGCCATTACAACCAGCCGTTTAATAAAGAAACGAACGACCACCGTGTATTTCTTTGTATCGCCTAAAGGAGTCTAAAGCTAGTCGATATAAATGTATAAAAAAATATATTTTTAAGAAAAATAATTGTACTCGATATATTTATTATTTTTATTATACTTTGTGTACTTAAGTTTGATTTTCTTGTATTGTTAGTTCTCTTGTGTATTGACATTTTTCATAACTGTAAATGTGACCCTAAGGTTCAACTCACACTGGCGCAGAGTCGAAGCGTCGCGACGCGTCATGTTTTTTCGCCTATAGCATATTCATTTCTATTTTCCCATTATTAAGGTGCAAATTTGTGTTTTGCAAATATGAAATCGAGTGTCGACGCTTGGTAGCATTCGAGCGGCTTCTGGTCTCTTGGGCGCCGTGAGGCGTCAGACGCCGACCAAACTGTGATCCCGGCGCACTAATACGAGTGTCGTCGCGTGTCGTCAGGAGGTGTAGTTGAAAAACAGGACGCGACGCGACGCTTCGACTCTGCGGCAGTGTGAGTTGAGCCTTAGAGTGGTTACACACGGCACTTTCCGCGGCGATGCAAACACGCAATTGCATCGCTACATTTGCGATTTATAGGCGATTCCATCGATGCAAACGCGCGACTGCATCGATACACTTGCAATTTATAGGCGATTCCATCGATGCAAACGCGTGTTACCGCTCTTAAACGCCAGCGCAAATGGGCAAACTGCAAAGGCAAAGGACATGAAATTTCTCAATGTATAATTTTATGCTATTACAATTGAAATAAGGTAAAATCTTTGTCTCTGATAAAACGGGCAAAACCGTAAGAAATGCGAACGAGAAACAATAAATAATGTTTTCTTTTATTCGTAATTGTAAATTATTATATCGATGATTTAAGTTTATTTTATAATTTAAGTAATTTACTATATAGGTTAAGTTCTCGGCGATCGGACGATCAAATTGTGATATAACAAACATATTATTTATGATAAAAATAATTAGTAAAGTGTATTTCAACTCCAATATTTTGTTTCATTAAATAATCCGTCTAATTCTGAATTTATATATTGCCTCTAGATCCATAGATCCTCAAACAGATTTCTCCAGCAGAGGCCGTGGGTTCCAATTCTTTCAATTTTTTTACAAACTTTTTTATTGCGATAACAAGAGACGGGACGAACAAGTCGTGCGCCTGGTGGTAAGCGACACATGTCCATAACAGTTGCAGTGTCACTCAGAGCTTTAAATCGCAAAGATCTGAAAGGCACTGCCACTGTGCCCGTCACCCTGTGATAAGTTGACAAGTCCCATGTGACTGTAATTTCACCAGCACCCTAAGGCTGCCTTTTCAAAAAATCCACCAATAGGATTACTTCATTTTCCTAGCCTCGCTTAGCGCAGCTCCGGTGGAAAAGGATTAGTGGAGCAAAGTATATTTGTACGTACATAGATACAAAATAGCAAGAAATGTAGTGTGCGAGAGATGTGTGCGAGGAATGTGTGAGAGAGATGCGGGCGAGGAATGTGTGCAAAACGATGTAGGGAACTAGAGCTACTGAAAGTATGTCCTTTAGTCATTGACTTACAAATAAATGGACGACGGGTCTAATACAAAAACCACGAAAAAAATGTCCCAAGTCAACCTATTCGAAATTTAAATTGTAATGTCATCGCAATATCGCGCTGTCAGTAGAACAAATGAAGACTAAAGCGGAGTGTCGCGCTCTGTATACGATTTTAGCGCCTTAAAAGTGCGGACACTTTTTAGCGCGGACCCGACGTCCATATAATTGTAAGTCAATGCCTTTAGTACTTATATTCAACTCATCAATGAAAGTATGACACTAACTGACACTGACATATCGCCACCGCTCACCCTTTTTTTCTCTTGAGTGATAAGGTTGTGTTATTTATATGTATATAACGTGAATTGGCAGCTATTGCAATAGCTCTTGATGACGAAGTATTGGAAACACAAATTGAAACTAGAAAAAGGAGATGGTGTATACATTCTGGCTGGAGAAAACGAGAATCCGAAGACAATTTGCCACCCTTTACAAAAGATTTATACAGATAAGTAAATAAATAAAAATACGTTCAGTACATACATACATGTATAACAAAAATATTTAAAAACTACGTATTTGTATTTAATAAACCAGAGAGTCTATTCGCAACCTTACGACAACTCAGTTGTTATAGTAAGATTTCTTTTCATTTTTATTCACAACACCCGAATCGAACGTCTAACTGTCGTATTCGAAACCGAACCTACGATTACTCGAGCTTCATTACTGCAAAGGCTACAAACGTTATTCAGAGCACAGTTATCGAATGAAGGTTACCAAAAGTTCTATTGTTTATAAAGCAACAATGTAATATGGAAATTTTAGAAGGGGCAGACCCAAGAAGTGCTGGCTTGACGTCGCCAAGGGTGATATGCGTGCCAATGGTCTCACCACTAAGGATGCCGAAGACCGTGCAAAGTGGAGGAGAAAAAGCAGGAAAGCGGACGCCGGGCTCCGCAGCAACACTGCTGAGGACGCAACCGGGACAACGCTCAGACGAGAGAGAGAGAGAATGTAATATGGAAATCTCTTTTTATTTTAAATAAAGTCTGGATTTTGTTCAATTTTATTAATTTATTTTAATCCCGTAACGTCTTAAAAATGTATATAAAAGGATTTTCATTTTTCTTTTAATCTATTTCATCGACTAACTCCGTAAACGCTTTTTCGGTTAAAATATCGAGGAGTTCTGAATCGGGGGAAGATGTTATTATATAAATGAGGCGAGCAATTTTTTCTTCATTCTGTAAAGTTATCAAAATTAAGTTCACAGTCGATTTGCTAACGAATCAAGAATACTGAATTCTATTTCAAATTTCAGAAGGTACCTACACAATCTCTTTTCGAATAGGTAAATTTTATTAAATTTACACACAATGAAAATAATGGCATGTCGATATTGTTTATTGGCTATTTTAGGGAGAAATAATGTGTGTAAGTACATTTACGTAGCATTTAATAAAGACATTATATATTAAAAATGTTTAATATCGAATAAAAAATGAATATTTTTCTGCCCATCTAGTTAAATAAAGAATTTTTTTATCAAGTGCCGCTCCCCAGATTATCCCCAAGATTGTTATTCTTTGATGGAAGTAGCTGTCAACTACTTGGTCACCGGAGAATTCAATGAAGGGGACAGAAAGCATTATGGCTACAATTTCACTTATAGCCCCTTCAGGAACCCATAGTTTTCTTTAGGAAGCGACCACATAATCCAGACAGGTCGCATCCCATGCTACGCTAACCTATTTGGTAATTATTATCAGACAGTTTAATAAGTTGTTGTATAAGAACTCTCATCTATGACAGGAAGTTTACTGGTTGGTCGTCGCATTTTAAAACCGGCTCTTATTTATACTACTAGTGCCATCTAGTGAGACACTTTTCAATTACAACGCCATCTAGCGTCGAGTAGATAAACTAACCGAACAATAAAATAAACTTCTATGAGAAAAATATTTTATCTATTTTGAAAGAAGGAAACTTCACGGTGACAGAAAAATTGCTTTCGTAAGCTATTTTTAATGATAAATATGTAATTTGGTAAAATAGCTTGGCAAAAATGTCCGAAATAAACAAAATTATTTGTGATGAAAACCAAAACTTTCGTATATGCGACTGCACTATCAAAATGGAAACGAATGTACCTTTGAGCAATCCAGATTACGATCAAGTGAAATCGGTGCACGAATTTCAAGCTCGAAGTTTAAAAGGAGAAATTATACGACTGGAATATTATAAAGGCTACGTGTGCATCATTGTGAATATAGCAACAAGATCACGTATGACCGACAATAATTTTGATGCCTTTAATATGTTATATGAGATATACTTTCCTTATGGTGAGTCTTTTTGTTAGGTTGCGGAAATGGAATGGTGACAGTAGTTACCTGTATGAGACTGGATTAGTACCAGCAGAGCTGCCTGTGAAAGAGTTCGTCCAGGGAAGTACTGTCACCATACCCACTTTGTAAAAACAGGAGTCTTCTATCCCAGGAAATCTCGACAAAAATAAAAACGACACAAGTTGCCGTGATGAATGTATGTAATAAATGTATTGATTCTTAAGTCGTCGTGACAAGGAACTTTAAAAATCTTAAATCAAAATTCGAAATAATCACAGACATACATAGAAGGTGTGTCAGCGAAAAGGTTTACCAACACTGTCCCTTACACGAGCAATCATAATTGAGTAATAGAAATATGGTGCGAGAGTACAAAATACAATATAATAAATAAATAATAATAAATAAAATTGTTTATTGAATAACGTATTGTACAAATGAATAACTAAAGACTAATTACGGATCTTCTGTCTAACACTCCGCAATCCACTAAGCTTCTTAATATTGTCAAGTCTGTGAACCTTTCAATCTTGCCATCTGAGCCTACTCATCATAACCCCTCTTCCAATGATACACAGCTTGACTTAATCATAACCTCTCCTGACTTCGTTGCTGGTCATGGTCAGTTGCTTGCTCCTGGATTTTCAAAGCACGACCTTATCTACATGCAATACCGATTAAGGCCACCGAAAGTTAAACCCCCTTTGGTATGGATGCGTAATTTTGGTCGACTTGACCATCACATGCTGAGGAAGGATGCCGCTGACCTTGATTTCTCTGGGGTGTATGGTGCTTCGTCAGTTGATTTGAAAATCTCCAACCTTAACCAGTGTTTGATCAATTTGTACGATGCTCATGCCCCACTACGGGCTGTTAGGGTTAAGCGGCCTCCTGCTCCTTGGATTAACAGGGGCATTCGTATGGCTATGACTAGACGTGATCGATTGTTTCGGGTTTACAAGCGCGATAGGTCGGATTGTAATTGGACTCTGTACAAGACTGCTCGTAATAGGTGTAATGGGATGGTGAGGGCAGCTAAGCGTCAATATTTTTATAATAATGTAAGTAATTGTTCTCCTGCTAATGTCTGGAAGTTTCTCAGAACTCTTGGCTTAGGCAAATGTTCTGCTCAACCTGACTCCTACCCTTTTGCTCCTAACGACTTCAACTGCCATTTCTCGTCTGCTCCTTCTTTAGATCCCTTCATTAAGGCGAACACTATTCGACTTATTGCTTCCAGGCCCATTTCTTCTTCAGTTTCTTTCTCTTTTTCACCAGTTACAGCTGACGATTTGCGTAAAATAATTTTTTCTATTAAGTCTAAAGCCGTAGGATGTGACGAGGTGAGCAGAGTGATGATTGTCAGCATTGTTGATCAAATTCTCCCTGCTATTGTCCATATCATCAACTTCTCCTTGCAGTATGGTGATTTCCCTCGTGTCTGGCGTAAGGCATTTATTATACCTTTGCCAAAAATATGTTCTCCTATACAACTTAATAACTTTAGGCCTATCTCTATTCTTCCTTTCCTGTCTAAAGTTCTAGAATCTGTTGTTCATAAGCAAGTGTCTTCCTACACATTTTCTAACAACCTTCTAACCCCTTTCCAATCTGGGTTTCGCCCGGGACACGGCACAACAACTGCCCTACTCAAAGTTGTGGAAGACATTAGGCTGGGCATGGAGAAGCAGTTGGTCACTGCTATAGTTCTCGTCGACTTTTCCAACGCTTTTAACATGGTAGACCACGACATTCTGCTTGCCATCCTGAAGTCGCTTAACTTCTCCCCATTATCACTAGACTGGTTCTCGTCCTACCTTCGTGATCGTCAACAAGCTGTTCGCGTGGGTCCTAAAGTCTCCGATTGGCGTGATTTGGCAGCTGGTGTTCCGCAGGGTGGAATCTTGTCACCGCTTTTATTTTCACTTTTTATTAATTTTCTTTCTTTCTCACTTAGCTGCTCTTACCACTTTTATGCTGATGACTTGCAGATTTACGCGCAGGCATCTGCCGAGGACATTAATTCAGCGATTTCTGACATTAACAGTGATTTACAATGTGTTAGTGCGTGGTCAACTAATTTTGGGATATCTGTTAATCCTTTCAAGTGTCAAGCAATTATTTTAGGTGGATCTAAACAGATATCCAAGATTGACCATACTTCGCTCATTCAAGTAGTTTATGAGAACTCGTCTGTTCCATTCAGTTGTAGTGTAAAAAACCTTGGTCTTTACATTGACTCCTCACTAAGCTGGACCTTACAGGTGTCCGAGGTTAGTCGTAGGGTTACTTCTTCTTTACGTTTTCTAAACCGCTTTCGACATTTTCTTCCCATTAGTACTAAGACCCTGCTCGTCACCTCCCTTATATTCCCACTCATTGATTATGCTGATGTCTGTTATCCTGATCTCAATGAAAATCTATTAGACAAGTTGGACCGCCTGCTCAATAATGCTATTCGTTTCATTTTCTGCCTTCGGAAATTTGATCATGTTTCTTCTTTTAGGTCTCAACTTAAATGGCTCCCTATTCGTCAACGCAGACAGAAAAGAATTATCTGTACGTTGTACTCCGTTCTTTTCAATCCCCACTATCCAGAATACTTGAAATGTAAATTTCAGTATCTCTGTGACTCTCATGACCTCCCACTTCGTTCCATGAATTCACTATCACTCACTGTACCTCTCTTTCATTCTGGCTTCATGTCAGATTCTTTTACTCTCCACTCGATACGGCTCTGGAACGCTCTACCGGACGCCATCAGACGGTCTCCTAATATATTTTCTTTTAAAAATAATGTTCATGAGCATCTTCTAAATTGTTTGTCACAGCAATAATCATCATCATATTCTGTTATTGTAAGTATTTTGTATATGTATAGTATATTTGTATGTATGCAAGTGTATGTATTTTATTATTAAGTAAGGTATTAGGTTAGTTTGTTATATATATAATTATGAATTTGTTTCATTTATTTTAATATAACCGTAATATTCTGTTTATTTACCGCGTTCGTGAATTTCGTTTTTCTCAGAGGTTGACTGGTAGAGAATGCTTTTAGCATTAAGTCCGCCTTTTGTACCCTTTGTATTGTGGTCAATAAAGCTTAATAAATAAATAAATAAATAAATAATTATGCGAATAAATAATAGTTCGGTAACGTAAGCTAAACTTAAAGATTTTACAAACAACTCATACTTTGCCTTAGGCAAGGCTTTTGTAAACAGGTCTGCCTCTAACTTTGTTGACGGCTTGTACTGTAAACAGACTACTTTATCATCAACACACTGTTGAATGAAATGATGATGAACAACTATGTGTTTAGTTCTCCTAAAACATTCATTCTCTACCATTTTGAGTGTGCGACTGTTGTTGTTGTATTGGAGTTGAAATAAAAATTTTTTCAACATTTTTGCCTCTTTTACAAAACTCCCAAGAGCATAGTATTCAGCTTCGGTGCTAGAACAAGCCACGTTTTGTTGTTTGTGACTGTACCAGTTTACAATGCAAAAACCGTACCTACTCAGAAACCTTGAATATGACTTTCAATCAGTTTTATCTCCCGCCCAATCTGCGTCGGATGAGATTTCAACTGTATTACTACCTCTCCTAAAATTGAGTCCATAGCTAGTTGTTCCTGAAAGATATCGCAATACACATTTAGCTGCGAGCCAATGCGATTCATTATAACAAGTGTTATATTGTATGAGTTTACTGCACGCAAATGGAATATCTGGACGTGTGCAAACAGCGAGATACAATTGCCAATAAGTTTCTGATTCGGAAACCGCGTATCGATTGTTTCTGCTTTCGACAGATTGAAATTGACTTCCATAAGAGTCGCTACTTTGTAACAATCTTCCATGCCAAATTTTGATTGAAGATTTTTAAAGTGTTCCTTGTCACGACGACTTAAGAATCAATATATTGTTTTTCTTCATCACGGCAACTTGTGTTGATTTTTATTTTTGTCGAGATTTCCTGTGATAGAAGTCCCAGTACTCCTGTGTTTACATTAATGTCTCAGAGTGACGGGCGCAGTGGCGGTGCGCCTCAGATCTTTGCGATTTAAGACTGAGTTTTAAGACTGACTACAGCTATTATGGATAGGCGCGTCGTCTGTCAGGTATCATAAAAAATGATGACGAGAAGCTTTACTGATACTAAATCTATGTTGAATTTGTTTATTTATTACACAGACTATCTTACTACTTATCTTTGGTTGATACACAGATGCAAATAAAACCCCAAAAAACTAGTGAATTTGATATATAATTTTGTAAATCGTAAGGCGATGGACTGATGTGACAATTTAAAGCATTGTACTAAAATAAACGCCTGAAGCCTGAAGAGCAATTCGACGTTGATGTATAATTACTCCTATACTTTATGAAGGCGGTCAGCCTGAATACTATCACAGATAGCGAAAAAACATTTTGCTTTCTTTCCAAATACGTACGCCATCTGTATTTCCTGTAATCTATTACTATTAAATACATACAGTACATCTTAGTGGTTGAAATAGGTATAGTGGCAGTGCTTCCTGCGACAAACTTTCACAATTTCCATTGCGTTAACTTAATTCACCGGAAAAAAATCACCCAGGTTTCTATTGCCACTACATAATCACGTGACAAATAAAAAAAACACAAAAGATTCTATATTCAATGTTTTTCCAGGTCTACGAATTTTAGGGTTCCCTTGCAACCAGTTCGACAACGAAGAACCGGGAGATGACTTCGAAATAATGCGTTACGCCGCAAAGAAGAATGTCAAATGGGATATATTTAAAAAAACGGACGTAAATGGACCTACCGCTTGCGAATTATTTAAGTTTCTTAAGGTAAGCTGGAACTATTGCTGCCTGTGATATGGCGGATTTAAGGTCAATGTGAGCTGGGTCACATAGTGCCGTGTACCTCGCAGAACACGGATACTCTCTAGAGCAGAGTTTCCCAACAGTGGCGCAGCGTGCGTAAGGGTTCAGAGCGGAACGAGTCTAGTCAATTTATTAAAAAAAAAAATCTTTATTGTACTAAGAAAAGACTCTTAAAGGACGTATACAAAGGTCCAACCCTAGCCGTGGTGTAAAAATGAAGTCTGCGGGACTAATGATTGTACAATAAAATTAAAATTTGAATGTGAATAAAAAATAAAAATTATGACAATGTACATATGACAGACATACACCCCTACATGAACTTTATGTACATAAATACATACTGTACGAGAAATTCTTTATATTTCATAGAATTAATCGTAATTGAGTAAGTTTCATTGAGAACGATGTGAACCAATTAGCTATATGCTATACGCGCGTATATTGGTCTTCAAAGCTGAGTCTCCTGAATCCAGAGGCTGCAGAACTTACCACAATTTTGATCTTGTCTTCAAAAATGAGTTTCACTTGCCGGCCGGCGTTGATAATATCAGTTACGATGTGAGAAAACTCAAAATAGGTGTGAAAATTAGGTTTTCTTAAAATTCAATGCCACCACCATGGCAGCTTCAAACGGAATCTGTTTGAAATGTGTACGTTTTGATAAAAACGATTCGTTCATTTTCCTTCGGTTTTACGTACATGTAGGCACAAACTTAATTCGTTTGCGATAGCCAACCAGAACATCTCGTTTTCTCAAATGACATTGGAAACGAATTACTAAGCAGGAATTTCAAAAATATACGATGTCGATCGTAGCTCTCGTACTAACGACTTTTGGCTTGGCTTATTGGACTGGATTTAAGTGATCTGCAAACTAAATTGATCTGGCATCACTTTGGACTGTGAATTGGAGTTTTGGCGTATTTTGAACTGATTATCGTTTATACCGTCGTTAGTACGAGAGCTACGTCAATTGATTACAGAAAGGTGCGCAGTAAACAAAGGAGCAGAGCGTACTGACTTGCTGAGCACCGGAACTTCTCTACCTGCGTTATTGCTATTCAACAAAGGACATCTATCTATCTCTTTCTAACGTATATCTCTCGGTATTTTTCTCTCTCTCTAATTTCTAAATTGTATCGACTACGCACACGTGCCATTGAAATTCCAAGAAATTGCAACACATAACCTTTTTTCGGCACATAGTAAAAGTGATTATTATGAACAAGAACAATAATCAAGAATTTTAATCTTTCTTAGAAATGGTACCAATATTTTTGGCGCCTAGTTTTATTAAAGTATTATACCATTTTGGAATCTTGGTTAGTTGCGTCAATTTTTAAAAAAACTTGCCGCAGTGGTGTCCATGCTATTTTTTTACAAAACGATGAGTGAAAGTCGACTGAAGGTAAAAATATTTCAAAATTTTAAGGAAAAAAAATATTTTGATGGATTTTTGTGTAAAACTGCAGGCATTTTAGGGTTTTTAAGAGTTGTGGTAGACAGCAGTACTACTTAGGTGGCCGTTAAAATTAAAACATCAGAAATATCTGAAAAAATGTGGTCGTGGTGATTCAAAATATCATTAAGGGAGTAAATTTTCGAAGAATAACAATTTTTTTATCGTAATTGAAAAAAAAAATGAGATAGATTTTTTTTCTTATTTTTCCTCAAGTAGTTATGCGCAGGTCCACCCTCCAGAGCCCGCTTATCGTTGAATTTTGGGACACGCTGTATACTCGACGAGTAAACTTGACTATAATTTTTTTATTGTAATTATTGTTTTTATCATTTTTCACAGCATGAGGCGCCCGGCCCACGAGTACGTGGCGAGAGTTCCACGCTGGTAATAAAGAGCAATTATACTAAATTCATCATTAACAGAGCAGGTATTTTTTTAACAATTTTTTTTAACATTATTTATACTACAAACATCGAATGATTGTCTATTATAGGCGTTCCTGTCTGCGCGTTTTAACACAAATTACAGGTTGACTTTACAATGTTTTTTTTCCGTTATCGAAACCATTTCTGCGAAAAAGGGCATAACTAACATTTTAATTAATCAAAATTTAGTTACATATTCGAAATTAGTAGTCCACTAGTAAACTGCGTTATATGCGTGGATAAAAAAGCTGTAAACTAAAAAAAAAAAAAAACAATTATTGTTCGGAAAACGGATTTTAAATGATACTTTTTTAATTATCTGAAAATTGTGGTAAAAAAGAGATAAACAGTATGAAGAAACAAAATGACAGTAGGTACCCATTAAAGTTTTTACTTTGGTTCCTTTAAAAATTGAACATAGACAGTTTTGCAATAGTAATCTTAAAATAACTAGTTTTGTAATTGTTCAGAATAGCTATTTTTGCAACAACACAATGATAACATGCCTCGTTTTGTTATAATAATAGTAAAAAACACAACTTGAATCTAATTTTAATTTTCCTTTAGACTCTTATATCTACGTCGTCAACCATCAATGTATCTTCATTACCTGTCATTTCTTCTTCTTCTGTCACATTTGATTGTACTTGCCCGATAATATGAGTGTACAAGTCAAGAATTTCGTATGTAAACCAATCTTCTCCGATATGTTTGACGATCACGTTTTTAATAAACGAACACGAGAATAATAAATACGAAACAAAATAACGGATTTTGTAATAGTTTATTAAATTTCTTATCAAGGGTGTTAATTTGAATGCATTATTATATTATAATTTGAATGTGAAGGAAATGTGATGAGAAATCAGCCTGGAAAATAATAATAATAACGCCCACACTCAACATAGCCCCGCACTAGGGAAACCCTGTGTCGCGGGTGCCATGGACACACATAGACAACCACAATATACACCCAAACTCACGAGAGAAATAAATGTAGGCCATACAAATATTTCTCCCGGCCCGGGAATCGAACCTGGGACCTCTGCGTGGCAGTCTGGCATGAGGAGGCAGAATTCTGTCCTAAGTGCATTGTCGATGGTCTAGATCAGGATCAGTGAACAGTATTTGTTCAGGATCAGGATCTTGCTCTTCTCAGGATTGGAATAAGACTCGTTCAATTGCTTACTGACTACGTTTATTGCTCGAATAGTTTCTACTTAAGTACATAGATTGGTCTCCCAAATAGTAGAGGTATCGGCGAGCAGGCGATTTGCGCGGTGTGCGGTACGGAGACGAGTTGACGCGCCCGGTGCGGGGCGCGGGGTCAGTAACACGCATTTTGCATCCAATTTTGCACTTGCGATTCCCGTAAATACATAATTAATTCCAGTTCTTTACAGTGTTCTTATACATTTATAGGTATTCCCGACCAAAGGTTGCCACCGAATGCAGATTTCAAAATGATGGAGAAAGCTCTATTACCCTATCTTGGACTCAACGAACCAGTTAAACCATTAGATTTTAAAGCACCTGACCTACAATCGACAGATCTTTCTAAAGTGGGGGAAAATAGTTCGAGTGTAAATTAAGAGAGAAACAGAGAAAGAATAAAAAAGAAACCGACTTCAAACTTTGTTTATATGTACCTACATACAAACTGAAACCGAAAGGTTAACAATCGGTTACCGGAAAGTGCGCGACACCGGAATCATCCCCTATTATGCCACCCTTAGGGCATTTGCGCACTGGATCCACTGCATTGTGCACTAAGTCCTATTCGAATCTGAGAAAAACTAATATCGCTTGTACACCTAGAGATAAAATGATCCCTGTGACATTTCGGACCACAGACTTATCGCTAGAGGTGGGCGTTTAAACAAAAAGCTCTTAAAAATTCTGCTTTTTAGAATAAGCGCATAAGTGCTTATGCGCTTATGCGCTTTTCATTTTAAGCGTAAGCGTTGGTTACCGGCGCCATCTGTTTCCTAAACAAATTAATTCAAAATAACGTTGCAAGCTTTTTTTAAACATAAAGTCTATGCGCTTCAACGTTTTTCTAAACTACTTTTTAAGCGTCAAACTAAAAAGTGTTTTAAGTGAAAAGCGCTTTTACAAGCACGCTTTTTAAAGGTCCGTTTTAACGTTAAAAAATAAGCAGTTTTTTCCATTTCAACGGTTAACAACTACAAAAGTTAAACAACTTTGCTTTTAAAAATTTCTTTCTTTCTTTCTTTAAAAATTTCTTTTAAAAGTTTTCATTATTTAAGTTAATTGATAAGATCTTCTATTACAAAAAGATGATCGATTAAAAATGAAAGTCTTAAATTTTTTTTAACTAATGAACATTTTTTTAAATGAAGTAAAATAACTTAACTATCTTATTATAGTATTTTTCTACTATAGTAATATTACGCCTACTTGTAATCAACAAATACTTGAACACAAATTATTCTATTTAGAATCGATTAATTGAATGGAATACGCGTGTTTATGCGTATTCCGTTCAATCTAAAATATTCCCATAATAACAAAAATAACGAAATAATTACCTTGTTTCACTGTTGAATATAAGATGTTTTATTGTGTACATACCTGTGGACACAATGAAACATTTCCCATTTAAAAAAATAAACCATATTAAACATTATCTATAAACTGTATAAGACATTCGATACTCAATTAAATTGGCTATCTGTGTAAAAAAATACCCTTGACTTTAAAAATAACAGAACTATGAATGTTTGCAATTTTGGTGTTTCATTGTTGGACCTGTGACCATGTATAATTTAAAGTTTATTACAGGCATCTTAAATTATTTCCTACTTGCCAAATATATTTACAAATAAAAAAATAATTTAATATTTTTGAGTAAGGACTGTTCAGTGTGTCCAGAACTACCTCACGAAAAGTTTGTCCCTTTGAGTTAAGTTTATTTTATTTTGAGTTTATTGACGTGTAGAGATGCAAATTTTACGTTTAGCCATAGTATAATCTTGACTTTCACATATTTTGAGTTACAACACTACTGTAATAGCAGTGCGATATATGGGACTTGTCAACTTATGTCTCAGGGTGACGGGCGCAGTGACAGTACCCCTCAGATCTTTGTGATTTGAAGCTCTAAGTGGCACTGCAACTGTTACGGACAGACGTATAGCTTACCATCATGCTCACGACTTGTTGGTCCCGTCAATTAATATTATTAAAAAAAAAACAGTTGCATGAACCAAAATATCATCATCAACCAAAGTCAAATGATTTATTCACCAAGACAACACAGTGCATTGCCTATAAGTAAGTCAAGTTACAGAAATATACAGGTATACATACTAGTGTCATCTCATGATGAAACATCATGATTTTTTAAGAAAATGAATATTCACTAGATGTTTCTACGAAAAGCACTTTAAAAGTCTGCTTTTTAAAATAAGCGCATAAGCACGCTTTTCATTTTAAGCGAAAGCGTTGGTCCATGCGCTTAACGTTTTTCTAAAAGACTTTAAGCGTCAAACTAAAAAGTGTTTTAAGTGAAAAGCGCTTTTACAAGCACACTTTTTAAACGTACGTTTTAACGTTAAAAAAAGTAAGCAGTTTTTTCCATTTCAACGGTTAACAACTACAAAGTTAAACAACTGATGTTTTTGAATGCTTTTAAAGGCCAATGAACAAAATGTTCATATTTTTATGTTATGTCATAAATTTTTATTTAATTATATAATAATATAATTCGTTTTTTACAAAAAAAACTTACCTTAAAACTTTTAGTGGTCTACTTTTGCTTTTCGCTATCAACACAATGTTGCAAGCTTTTTTCACGTAAAAGTCTATGCGCTTAAACGTTTTCTAAACAATTTTGTTAGCTTCAAACTAAAAAGCGTATAAGTGATAAAGCGTTTAAAAAAGCACGCTTTTTATAAAAAAGCATAAAGTTTAAACGTTTAAAAAATAAGCAGTTTTTCCCATCTCTTATGTTCACTTAGATTTGAAACCATAAATTCGTTGATTTTATAAAAAGCGTGATTTTCAAAGCAAAGTTTTAATGTTTGTTTGAATGTAGCCATTTCCAAGTCAGATACACTAACTGGTACTTTATTGTACGTATACGTTTTTACTAATCTGGTTTTATTTGTTACTAGCTTAGGTTACAAGTTTATGTTTACCTCTATGTACGAGTATGTATGTATGTCTGATATCTTCGCCATATCATTTTTTTTTCGGGTATCTCTAATATCTGTATATATACAATGAAATTACAGTCATTATTCTATATTTAACAAATATTTTTTAAGTCTCAATGCTGGGCGCGGGTCTTCTCTGAGGTGAGAGGGTTTAGGCCATAGTCCGCCGCGCTGCTCCAATGCGGATTGGGAACGTCACAGTTGAGAACGTTTTCCTAGGGTTGATGGTTGTGAACCTTCTTTGACGTGCAGGTTTGATCTCGTTTTCCTTCACCGAAAGACTCGTGGTAATTTCAAATTTCGCACATACATTCCGAGAACCTCATACAAAGGTCACATTTGACTACCAAAGCTTTTTATATCAAATATAGTTAAGTTACATTTGTAACGGGACGTTAGTTCCACACTTTGCCGCTAAATGGCATTGGCCGATTTGTGTTAAATTCTTTGTAATAAAACCAAGGAACAAAAGCTGATTAAGATGTTAAGTTTTCCATCCTCTAAGGTTAGACCCGACAAAACAAGCGCATAGAGAAATTCATGAGGTCCGCTGCCTGCCCTGATAAGCCGAAAAGCGCTATCTCAATCGGAGTAAGTTTTGAGAAAATCGACTTTTTGTAAATTGTATTTTCGCACCTTCAAAAACAAATATTTCTAATGTGGAGAATTCAGCCCGCAAAACTGAACTCCTGCTTTATTCTCCTTCGATAATAAAAAACTCCTTGATTTAAAATGGACTGTATATTCATATAAAACAAAAATGTCAATCTGACTTACGAAACAAGAAATTGTAACAAGTGCTTCCATGAGTGAATACAAAAAGTGATTCGAAAAGTGATTAAATACAAACCAAAATCCGCCCATATTTATACCGGCACGATGTCTCCCACATCGTGCCGGTCCTATCAATGGGTCGCTACGCCGCTCGGCCAATCAGAGCTCTTGAATTAATCATTCTCGTCTGAACTTCAGCTCTGACCGGCCAGGCGCGCACGGCCGTCCGTAACATCTAAAGATGCTAACACTTATTTATACGTAAATTTGCCTTATAGATTTATTGACATACCCAAATTATCCATAACTTGTACCATTATACCTATTTTCTGAGATACCGCTATTTTGATTAAAAATAACAGTTTCAAAAATTGAGATACTGCTTTTAGCCTTAATCTGCTCATAGAGTATCCCATAAACAAAGTCAAATTTTTATATTTGATAAAAATACCTTATTAGTTTGTAATAAAAAATCATTTAAATTTTTTTTTAATTACTTTATTGACCGTATCAGCAAATTACAAAAAAAAAATTAAAGCCATTATTTGCTTTCTATGAAATTAAATTAATCAAAAGTTGGCAGTCCTCGCCAAAAAGACATCCTATTAGCAGGTATTAAACTGGAAAAAGATTTTAAAAGATTTATTTTTTTTGTTTGAGAAATTCCTGCAGGTACAATTTTTTTTAGTTGGGGGTGGAAGTTTCTCTAATTTTAAGAACTTTGCACCTATAATGCTTGCCGTAATGGGTTCATTATCGAAACTAGTTCTGTAGCTAATATCAAAACTGCCTCTGCTAACTTCCACTTCAACAATGTCACTAATGTAAGGTCGTGGTGACAGCCGGGAAAGTTTGTATTGGGTCGTGTAGTCTTGCCACTCATAGAAATCATCTAACGTCATTTTTTGGTATTCACATTTTTACCAGCACTACTTACAGCTTTGCAAAAATCATCAAAGTCATATATTTTATTTTTCATCCGTTTCATCGCCAGTTCTACTCTATGGTGAAAAGAGTCTGCAGACACAAACGTGTGCCCGGTTTCAAAGTATTTTATAATAATCTGCATTGATATCATCAGAATTTATTATATAAATTAGAAAGGAAAAAAATGTCCAGTTTTTATTTTGAGCAGAACAATTATCCACCCAGAGTACAATATTTTTCATATCTCGATAGAACATAAAAAAATGATAATACGCGCTTATGATCTCATTTTTAGATCGTCCAGATAATGTTTCATGCCAAAGTACGGGATAGATACTAGATTCTTTTGAACCTTTCCTAGCTCCAGTAGGGACGAAACTTTCATTATAAACAACAATCCTGTGAGTGAATACAGTCGACTTAAACATATCGATTCTCGGTAGCATTATGACTTTTTGTAAGTCTGCGGAGTAAACAATGGTATCAGCGCTGGTTAAGTTAGTGTCAGATTGATACTGTTCTCTTGATCTCTTAGCTCGTTCTATATGACATGCCCACCTGGTACAGCATTCACAGTCTCCCTTGAGATTGTCTTTATCATGCGTTTTATCGTGCAAATCGAATTCTTCACACACTTCACATTCTTCGTGACCCAGTTTTACGAACGAAATATTTAAATCTTGCAGAACTTTTCGGTATTTATCGTAAGAGCATGTCATCGAAGGATTTTTTTCTAGGAAATCTGTATGAAGATTTGTAATAGACAAGTCACTTGGCAAATACAAGCGTTTGGGCGCGTGTTCACGTCTATAATGCGATATCCTGGGGTCAAAACTAAATATGTGTTCCTTTATAGGACCATCGTCAATTTTGTTGTGAGGAGTGTTAGTACATCTTTTGTCCACTGGAGCACTGACAGAGTCATCCTTATTGTTACCTAAAGCAGTCTTTAAGGGCTTGTCGTTAGCTGCATTATAACCCAAGGTAGTTAAAAAGAAAGTTTTGCATACTTTGCATGACGAACCTTGTGAGTTTTTAAGATAATAGAAGAATGTAGTTTGTCTTCTGTAAGTAGTTGGAACAGATTCATTGACAGTTCTCTGTTTCACAGGTTGGGAATAAGTGTGGTGCAACATAAAATTTTTTCTGTCTTTATTGCTTAAACTCCAAAAAGAATGATTCAATTGCTTTCGTTGCTCTTCCGGTATGTTTATAATACATAAAAGCCTGCATGATGAAGAGCATGGAGGTTTTACGTCATGTTTTTCCCTTTTTTCTATAATTTTAGTTTTATTTCGCTCTTTCAAGGGCACATCATACTTCTTTGTCTTTCTTATTGTCCCTGTTTTAGTATAAGTTATCAAATCAACGGAACTTTCTTTATTTATCTCGTCATTTTGTGTTGTATTCATTGTTCGTATTTGTACGTTTTCGATAGTAATGTTTAATGTTTGTTCATTGTCAACATGTAGGAACTCATCATCGGTTGTATGCAATATTTCCTCATCAATGGTCTTCATTAACACGGCGCAAGCACTATCAATATTATCAACTGTATTATTCGTAATTATCTCTTGATTATGGTTTTGCGCTACTACTGGAAGAAGTTGATGGTACGATAAGTTTTGCTCTTCCCCAATCGTCATGTTTGGAATTGCGTTGTTTACATTTTGATGGTTAAATTCTACACTATTTGGACATGTAATCGGTGATGGGTCTTCGGTAGGATTGATATTATATTCACTGATGGGAATAGAGCCAAATGTTAATAAATCCGAAGATTTAATCGAGATGTTATCAAAGTTATCCGAGTTCTGATTGACGGTTTCAATCTTCGAAGTAGATGGTTCTAATGTAATGTAATCGTCAGTAAAACAAACATTTGGTATCATATTTTGATTCTTTTCAGCAAAATATTGTTTTGCGCTGCTTCGTCCGGATAAAGGATAGTCATCATTTGAATCGTCAGCATCACTGCTAGGAAAAAAGTCAGGATCGATATTCTGGATGTCACGCTTTAGTTTCTTTGAACCTTTAAATTTTTCTCTCCGAGACTTATCTTTTTGTGCTAAGGCCATCATCATTTTCTAGCTTCTGTGTGACATGGCTGATCTGCAACAAATCAACATCCATTTCCTTATATAACATTAAAACATACATTTCGCTCAACTAGTTTTATAATTTCATTCAATTTGGTTACCTATGTAGATTACTCAGTAGGCTAATGAACCACAGGTAGACTTTTACACTATCGTCAATAAAAACAGTGAAACTTGTTGTGTTTTTACATATGCCTGCTACTCTGATGTGATGTGACTGATTTGTGTGTAATACCTACACTACGAAAACGACTCGTATTTCATGCCTTACTAAGGCGCTCTAAAGGTCAACATATAACAATTGACGTCCAGTTGATTGTACTATTACCAACTCAGATAAATACTTGTAATTCTGAAGTGTCGTTATCGAAGCTTCCAAGTTTGAAATTAACTTCAAAGAAAGTGAGAAACTAGAGAATTATCCTATAAAAACTTACCTTGATATCAATAACAAAAACTTGTCACTGTATATTTATAAACACTGTGTTTTATTAACTTTTTCCCTATTTTTAACACCACAAAACAGATTTGCTTCCTTCCGCAAACAAAACAAACTAAGAAATGATCGCTATGTTTATCTTCATGTCACAACACGCTCTATTGTCACATGCAAGTGAGTGTAATCCTTAATACTAAGATATTAAAGACCATTTTAAGTACCTACCATACTTCGGTACATCCGTATCTCAAACCTTAGCGAACTAATAATACGCACATTTACTTAGCGCAAAAGCACTAACTCCGCAACTAGCTCGAAGTTCGAAGGAAAGATGAGCTTACCGCTTATTGCATTAGAAATTGATTAATATTGTTATCAATTATTTTTAAGCGTTTCTAGCCTATGCCAATATACGCCTATTTGGCTTCATAAACACAACATGCCGCCAAATCTCTTAATAATTTAAGAAAATATTGAGATATAAAAAAACTTCTTAGAGGTTTTTTTTAATGTTTTAAGTTAGATAGCGATGTTTAGATTATACCATTAAATGCAAAATTATTATAGCTATGGAATGGTATAAAAAAAACTAAAAGGGCGTATCTCAGAGATACCGCCTTTCGGCTTAGCAGGGCAGCGCTAGTTCGTTCCGTGGCTTAGCTGGCATAGCGTCTGGCACGGTTTGTTAAAAGATGGCGGTTCTAATCCGGCCGGATCGAAGGAATTTTTTCAAGTCTTCGGTCTTTGTAATAATTATTAACAATTTTTGTAAGTACTGTTCAGAACACGATGGTTAGCATTAATATTACACATATAACTGGTTGATGACACGATCTTGGTCAGGCCGTGATCATGGACGGTGAATGGTAAGTGGAAACGTTGGTGTTTAGATCCGAAAGCAATAGTCTAATTTTCATCTCCACCATTTTGCTATGCGAGACATATGTATTGTATTTGCCGTCGCTATGTCTATTACCATGGAACAATAACTGAAGAGCACTGCTAATTGCGATACAAGAAAGCGTAGTAGTCAGGTATTTAGTACCTATTGGTTACACCAGATGTTGCGACGCGTCAAAAATTTTTTTACATTGACGAGCTGCAATTTATCAAAGCTACTCTAATTTCCAGTGATAACAAACAAATCAACTAGATGGCGCTTACACAGATTTGTTTGGAATAAATTGGCGCCATTTGCCCATATTAGGAAGAGTTAATTTTAGAGATGAAAAGGATATCCGGTAACTATCCGGTATTCGACCTATTTTTATTATCCGGCCGGATACCGGATAGTAAAACAATATCCAGCCGGATACCGGATATTTAAAATAGAGAAAAATTCATAATCAAATAAATTGAATCATTGATAAAAAAAACTGATATTAATAGGATAAACAGCAACTACAGGATCGTTGACAATCTGATTATTACTTGTAACTGAAAGAACTATGAAGATAAATAACGTTATCTGTAAATTCAGTACTCAAATTCCAATAAAGCCAAATTATGGTGTATGGAGACCAGTTTTCAGTTTTTCTGCAGTGCTGTCGCGAATTACGCGATAATCAATTATTTGGTGAGTAAACGAATTTCACCCATTTTTTGTATTGTGGTAACACTGCTTTTGCCTTTGCTAACTTTTTATTTTGACACTATCGAGACGGCAGTAACGTCAACGGCAATGGTGGGACCCGAGTGCACTTCAGTTTGGTTAAAACTAAAGATATGCCTGTGTAAGTGAATGTACCCTAAGAGATAAACAACTGGTAAGTTCCTCTATGTACTGTTTAACATTACGACATGCATAGACACGGTGGAAAGACACACAACTAAGTTAATTGTCGAGTTTAATATTGTTACGAAACATGTTCAATGACTATCCATTTGCAACGTGCTGACTCGACCCGCAGTAGACTAGCCTCATTGACGCTTATGACTGGCCTATCGTTGGCATCAATCGGGTCGGTATTCGCTGGTATGTAAGCTTGCACCGCGATTAATAGCTATCGAAGCTTGAAACCTGTTGGGCAGAGGTTGGACTAAAGGGGAGGCTGGAGGTCCACTGGGGGCACCTCTCAAGGTGTTCCGCCCCAGTACATAGGCGAGATGTGCTGGGGGGTTTGTACGCGACATACGAGGTACACCTCTACGGTTCCTCGTCATAGCACAATGTAGTGTTATGAACGTTTTAATCATGGTTCAGTGTTTTTCTACCCTGTATATCTATAAATTAAGTATCTTTTGTCGTCCCTCAATATCTACATTGAGAATATTTGAACCAGGTACATAGGTATTACAGTCCAATAAATCTAAATCCAATAAAGTATAAAGTGGCGACAAGTGGTAAAAATTGGTTTTATTTATTTTCATAAACGAGACCAGCTTCAGAGGAGTTTTTCACTATAAACTCTTGCTTACTTGATATTGCCAGACGACCAAATCAAAGGATTGTGATGACGATCAAGTTGAACTATTTCAAATACAATAATAATGAAACGTGTAAGTAGATTAAAATATTTGTTTTTGGCAAATTTGGCATCAAGGCTCAAAATTAGATCACAAGCAAATTAATAAAATCGAATTGAAACAAAATAATTACGGGGTATCAAGTGCTAGGCCATAGTTTCCCAAAGTGATCCCTACCAGTTTATAATTTTATGCTGTCACCCAATCCCCCCAGTTTCTTAGTTTACCCGCTTGTTGATGCACATCCGCGTTAGTATAAGATTATAAAATAAATTCTGGTTGTTCATCTAACTAATATCTAGGACTTTATAATACTCTATGCGAGTACTAGCTTTGCCGAATAAAACTGAGAAATGCTAAAGTCACGTGTTACGCTCATTTCAGTGAATTGTAACTTTAAAACGCAGGAGGGGTCGAAATATCCGTGGTCATGTTATTACTAAACTAAATAAAAAAATTAATAAACACAAACTATTTCACTCAATAAAACTACATAATAATAACTTTACTGATCAACACATTTATTCTTATGTTCCCTAATCGAGCTCAAACTCGATGATATCGCCAAGGTCCATTACGCCGTCGCTGTCGCTGCTTGCGTTCTCCTGTTGCTGCTAAAGAAACAAAAATTTTCTAAGTAGTTAGTACTATTATCGCTAGATGGCGTTAGCCGTAATCTACATTCATACGTTGACTTCTCACAAATATAACATAAAGCAAGTAAGTATGGTAATAATCCTCAGGCCGCCTTTACATTTGTAAGTTTTACTCACGTAAATAACTTGCGTAATTAACTTAATTTGCGAATGTAAACACTCTTGTAAGAAGCTTACTGTAATTTCTTACTTCTTTTTTAAATCGTTCACCGAATTCTTTCTCTACTTTTTTTTCATTATACCAAGTGACGCGACGAAGCAGACGTGGGCCTGGTGGTAAGCGACACGCCTGTTCAAAACAGTTGCAGTGCCAAGCAAATCTTTAAATCGCTAAGACCGAAGGGGCACTGCCAACGCGCCTGTCACCCTGAGACATACGTTGATACGATACATACATACGATATATACAGAATATTTTTGGAATGTACAGAGACGTGCATGCAGGTCAGTTGTTGGCGCTGTACTATTCCAGTTTTTTATTTGTGATTTTAGCGCAAATGAGAGTTGATATTTAAAAGTGATATAAGGCCCATTTGTCTGATGAGTTTCTATTTCTGGTTATATACTCGTTGTGCTCACATTAATGCTTGGTAAGCTTTTTACGGACTGAACTTACAAGTGTAAAGGCGGTCTTATTTTTTTTTGTTTTGAATGTACTCTAGAAGTAAAACTAAAACTGGTTTTAGGTTTGACAGTCCTTATTAACGAAGCCTGTTCATAATAAATGTCCGAAGTGGAAATGTTACGGTTTTCTAGTATTTATATATTAAAATTCACCCGTCTGCGGTTCCGCCGTCGCCGTCTGCGCGGGCGCACATTGGCGTCATCTTGCGACGACTCTCCAGAGCTACCGCCGCTCGCGAGGCCCATCACAGCGTTGCGGAGAAGGTTAGACGCCACTGCAAGTAACATTATGGTTATATAAAAGAATGTTGGCGGTACGGCAAAAAGGTCGTTAATAATCTCAGTACAACTCTGTACAGAGTACTAAAAAACCGACCTCAAAAGTACGTGGAATTACATATAAACCAAGTTTTATAGAAATCGGTTACCGGAAAGTGCACAAACCAGGATTCATCGCCTAGTTCCCCACTAAACGGCACTTGACACAGGAGATGATAAAAATCGGTTCTCGCTACTCAAAGTACATTGAGACAGAAAAACGCCTTGAATTGGAGAATAGCAAAATCAACCATTAGAATAATTGCTCCTTACAATAAAATTTAGGCGCTATTTACAAAAATGAATCTTCATGCGTGAACAGCCAACCTTAGAGGTGGATGATTTTCTTCAAAATTAAACGGTGGTACCCTCTTTCCAAGAAGAATCATGAAAATCGGTTCACAAATACCGGAGTTATCGCGTAACACACATAAAAAAAACATACAGTTGAATTGAGAACCTCCTCCTCCTTTTTTGAAGGCGGCTAAAAACCAGAAACAAAGATCTGGGGGTCTACTCCCTTTCTCCGTCCAACATCCGTCCCAAAACAATTACTGTCAAATAAGTAATACTCGACTAGTTAAAAGACGCATGATGCGAATGAAGCTTCATACTCGACATTGTCTTTTCAATTTATTTATTTTTTATTTATTTGCCTACCACATGGTTTTTCAAGAGGTCTTACAAAAACATAGAATTATGTAGCTTTAAGCATGTGGTACCCTGCAAGGGCACTGCAAAAATCAAATCAATCAACTCAATTTTGTCGAGTATTACTTATTTGTCAGTAATTGTTTCGGACGGATATTGGACGGAGAATGAGAGTAGACCCCCTGCAAAAAGCACATAGAGTAATCTCAGTACAGAAATTACTCTATGTGCTTGTGTTTTTTTTTATTATGTCAAGTGACGGGACGACCAAGTCGTGTGTCTGGTGGTAAACGACACGCTTGTCCATAAAGGCCCATTTAGACGGAGTGAGTTTCTCGTCTCGAAGATACGATGATCGAAAGAATATAAAAAACTTTCCTCGTCTAAACATTCGCGATTACTGACCGTCCACGTGAGCGATAATCGCCTCGCCTTTGAATATTGAACGTCTCCTTGTAAACAGAACTTGACAGCAAAAATCGTATTTCCAGTTTTTGTGCCAGCCAGTGCTACCATGAGTGCAGTGCGCGAGGGTGTTTTGTTTATCACTGCTTTTCTAAGACAATAATTAATGAAATCAGAACGAAAATAAATTTTGGGTTCAGAAATGTTACAAAATTTAAAAAAAAGTATAAAAAAATATATATTTCTATACAGATTAAATTAGAATGATTTTTGCGTCATTTCGGTATATCCATAGTCAATAACGCAGTAATCACTGAACTCGAATGGCAATTCTCGCACTCAAAACTGTTCCAACTGAATTTGTACGATTATCATATGAACTTGAAAAAAATGTCATACGAGATCGAGTTTAGACAAGACAAAAACTCGTAAGCAAGAATCACCTTACTACATATTTCTCTGTGTAAACAGTCGAGGAGGCGACTAAGTTGCTTGCGAATCTCCTATGACATAATCGTAGGCGATATTTTACTTCTTGCCTCAATGTAAACATTATGATACGATAATCTTCGATTTTTCGTCACGAAGCGTGCGATAAACTCTCTCCATCTAAACGGGCCTTAACACTTGCAGTGCCACTCAGAACTTTAAATCGCAAAGTTCGCACTGCCACTGCGCCCGTCACCCTGAGACATAAGTTGACAAGTCTCATGTGCCCGTGATTACACCAGCACTCTTACCCTTCAAATCCGGAACGCAGTAATGCTCACATTACGGCTTGGCGGCAGAAATAGGTAAGGTGGCAGTACTAACCTGGACGAATTCTTTCACAAGGAGCTCTACTGCTACTAAGTACTAAAAATATTGACCTCAAAAGTTCGTGGAATTACTCTATGTGCCAAGTTTTATTGAAATAGGTTACCGGAGAGTGCGTGAAACCAGATTCATCCCCTAGTTTGCCACCCTTAGAGATGGAATATTTTCATCAAATTGAAATGGGATCAATACCCCAGAGGTACCCTCTCTCCAACAAAAAAAGAATCATCAAAATCGGTTCACACGGTCGGAGTTATGGCGTAACATACATACAAAAAAAATACAGTTGAATTGCAGGTAATCACCTGCATTTTTTTTAAGTCGGGTAAAAATTCGTTAAGGCTACTAGTTTGTTCCGTAAGCTCAGCTGAGAGAGCGTCGGGCACGGTACGCTAAAAGCGCTGGTTCGAATACAACCGGATCGTAGGAATTTCTCGAAGTGTCGCTTTAGTCGATCTTTGTATTAATAATTATAACAAACTAGTGGAGTAATTTCACAGAGAAAAATTGAATATCATGGAAAAAATTAAATGTCTCGGAATAAAAATTGGATATCGTGGTAGTGAAACGTCGTGATATTCAATAAACTTAATATTACAACGGTTAATTTTGTTATTTACTGCTTCAAGCATCTCACAAGCATATTTACACTTACAGTCATCGTTGTCTGATCCCGAATCGGAGTTATCATCGTCGTCGTTTTCAGATCCTCCAGCTAGATCGTCTTCTTCTTCATCCTCCTGGAAAATCCATAAACAGACTGATAATTAACAACGTTTTCACCTCACTAGCTCGGAAAGGCTTTCTTTCTCATTAGAAATCTGCGCGCAAAAGCGTTTTCTCCACGCTGGAACAGGTTTTTGAAATTCGAACTTGACGATGGACTGTGGTGCACCTAACTTTTTCTTTCGATGAAAAAAAAAAACATAATGACACGTACAACTATATTATGTAATATACATAAATAAGGAATATAAATCCACTGGTATATTTAATTTTTATTATTGTTGACATTGAATTTACAACTATATAACTCACGTACGATAAGGAATAATTATTATTTAGCGTAAAGAGCAAACTTTCAGCTAATTTTTACGCGTGATATCACATCACTTCATAACGACTGCGCTAGTATATATATTTTTTTAAATTGAAAGAACAATGGTAAATCATAGTGCAAAGAAATCTTTAGCGTCTTCTAATGCCTTAATTACAAGTTTGAATAAATTCATTAGGTTTTTCAAATTATAACAGCGGCCTATCTAAGTCTGGAAATAAAATTATATTTAAAAGAAACTCTAATGACTATTTAGTATGTAACCAGACTGATATCTACAACTATCTAGCCGCCAAAAAAGGAACTTTAGTACCTGCGTATGGATATGGTCCACATTTAGTTGACGTAATATCAATTGTACTACTCGACCGATTTGTAATAAGCTAATAAAAAATTAGCCACTTCATTACAAAAAATAAAGTCGATAAATTGTTCTTCAAAATGCCACGCGAGAAAATGATAAAATTGACAAAAAAGTTCCCAAAATCAGGGATAGATGACACGTTTCACAAAAAAATTATTTGCGTCCAAGTTACCAGTGCAATAGTCTGCGGTATGTTATTAATTAACTCAGTTTTTTTGTTATGGCTTAACTTCATGCCTTTTGATCAGTACAGTACACAAAATAATAATTTCCTGTAAACTTTCGTCACGCCACAAACTCACCACCACCAGCACCATTCAGCTTCTATTAACTCTGTTTAAGGCTTCTGTTGTTTATTTTGGTATAATAATACAACGAATATATTTTATTCAATTACGTAACACATAACCTCCAAAACTTCAAACTGGAATATTTTAAATTCCTGCTTCTCAGAATAGTAAACCCAAAACAAAATTTGTTCAGGAATTAGAACTCTATATTTTCACATATTTTTCATAAACAGACGCATAGAATTTATATCAACAAAATGTGGGAGTTTGCCATTGTCCTTTCAGTTTTGAGCACTACCTTGTATGTTCCGATAGTAATCAAGGCTTAAGACGCTTCCATTGTTTCTTCCGCGGTTGGAACAATCAGGTCTTGTTTTTGTGTAGTAATTCACATTCAAATATTGAATGTTAATACAAATTTAGTTCAAAAATACTGTTACGTTATTAATTACCCTCCTTTCTTTTTATCGACTTACGCACGCATCGCGTACGCTCAACACTAAGCAAGTGGGTAAGAGAGCGCTGTATCGCTATCTCACTCCGATAATTTATAGTCGAGTCTAGCACTCGCTTACCGCGAGAGCATAACACTTACCGCGTCGTCGTCGTGATCCCTACGTCGGCCAACGTCGTACACCTTCACATAGGACTCTGTCATCTGGTCATACTCGCCCAAGTTCTCGACAAGAGAGATCTGAGTGCCTGACGAGCACACTCCCAGGGCGTAAATGTTGCGTTTCACGTCAATTGTTGCTGTAAATTAAAAAAAATGGACTGTTATAATAATGCCTACCCACATAGTCCCGCACTCAGGAAACACTGTATCACGAGTGCCATGGGTACACACATAGCCAACCACAAACTTTAATTACACCCAAGTCCACGAGAGAAATAAATATAGGCCATAAAAAATAGAGCCAGTGTTGTAAAGAACTCGAATCCGGGAGTCCTCATTTATAAACTCGACTCAATTTCCCACGGCTCGGTGGAATCGGACCCGAGACCTCTGCTTGGCAGTTCAACATGGTAACCGTTCGGCCACAGATGTTGTATTCTTCTATTAGTGGACTGTAGTCAGGTCTGGTCTTGATATAAACACAACTTCTCTCAGAGAAACTTTAATATTCCGCAAAGAAAAATACACACGTTATATTTCCGAGAGCATCCCGCGATCACACACGGACAGACAGACACCATAGATAATTAAAAAAATTCGTCTGTTTAGCCATAAACAACGGAGACAGTTAATAGATGTGTTACTTCTTCAAAGAAAGTGGTATGGTATCACAACACAGCAAAGGATTCCAACAATTTATACGGCAATTTTCGTTTTATTTCACTTTTTTTATGACATTAAGCGACTGACGAGAAAAACAATTCGTGCACCTGGTAGAAAGCGACACGCCTATCCATAACAGTTGCAGTGCCACTCAGAGCTTTAAACCGCAAAGAGCTGAGGGACAGTGCCACTGCGCCCATCGCAATGAAACATAACCTTCAAAACCTGGAATGCTCTACCGGCATATGTATTTCCCGAAAAGTACAATTTGGGGCTATTCAAGGCTAGAGTGAATAGGCATTTTTTAGGCAAACGCGTCCCATCGTCGGTCACATCGTCGCTTAACATCAGGTGAAATTGTGGCCAAGCGTGTGTCTATTATATATATTAAAAAAAAAAAACCGGAACGCAGTAATGCTCACATCTGCCGTCCACTAACTAAGAAGCGGCTAAGTGACAAATGGTGAAATATCCGTTTTAAATAGAAAAAGAAAGAGCACAAAATTCTCTTTACCTCTGAACTTACCCTAACGATGCAAAGCTGAAATATCATTAAACAATATCAATATTCTAAAACTGGGTTATGGTTTTTTATAATATCTTAAAAATATATTTTGTCACTTAGCCGCCTTTTAGTTAGTGGACGGCAGACATTGCAGCTTGGCGGCAGAAAATGAAAAGGTGGCAGTACTTCCCTGGACGAACTCCATCACAAGGCTCTACTGCTATTAAAATGATATAATTATTGTATATTTATAATTATTCTATAACTATTTAGTATATGCACACATAAGCTATACCTGTGCTAGAGTAATCGTACGGATCGAGCGTTTTGAAGCTGGTGTCGAACTGGCTGCGTTCTTCAGAGTCCTGATCTTGGCAGAACGCGTAAAGCGCTGTGCAGGCAGGGTTGAAGATCACCTGTCACAAACGAATTCAAAAATACAGAAATGTTTTAATATTAAATCTGTAATCACGATATTTTATTATCACGATACTCAATTTTTTTTTGTGAAATTACTCCATTAGTTTGTTATAATTATTACAAAATAAAACAATCATTTCTGTGGCTCTAGTGAAAAGGGGTACAAATAAAAAAACACAACTTTACAAGGAGACGCGAAAAACAGTTAAAGCTTAATATGATAAGGATATTTATTGATTACTATACGGTGTAAAAACACGATTCCTAAACATTTTCACGATAGAAAAAAAAACGCAAACTTACCTCGAAATTTTAGAAGAAAACCGCTATATCCAATAAGTACTTTACATATACCCATCCAGTATATAACCAGAAATAGAGACGAAATGTCATTTAATTTATTTGAAAACTATTCTACATTGACTTACAATTATATGGACGTCGGGTCCGCGCTAAAAAGTGTCCGAACTTATAGGGCGTTAAAATCGTATACAGAGCGTCATTCACGCTTTAATCTTAGTTTGTTCGACTGACAGCGAAGCAAGCAAAATTAGACAGTACTGCGATGACATTACAATTTAAATTCAACGTTTTAGTTTTTTCATATTCCTTTACATGTCACTACGTTTAAATAGGTTGACTTGAAACATTTTTTTCGTGGTTTTTGTATTAGACCCGTCGTCCATTTATTTGTAAGTCCATGCTATTCTACCGTATCATTACTGTGACAACTGCGCTTCGATTGGCCAGCCCGAATTCGAAACAATAGACGGCTGTCGTCAATGGGTGTCGTCAACTGTTTCACTTCAATCGACCAGTTAACTTGAGCTTTGCTATAATGGACGAAAATTGCAAAGTTACATATTTAATTATATGTTTTATTATAATTAGATGTTTTGCTGTTTTTCCCACACCATCGAATAGAACAGCACGGCATTGTTAGAGATATTATGACAATAAATACAGAATATTTTTTGGAATATACGGAGACGTACACACAGGTCCAGTGCAAACGGGAGTTGATATTTATAAGAGCTGTATCGCTAATGTGTTACCAGGAATATAAGGTCCTTATTTCGTCTCTATTTCTGGTTAAATACTCTATGCATATACCAATGATTTTTTTTATATCAACTGTACTAAATAGAACACGCATAGTATACGATATAAAATTTTCAAATGACCTTAATTTCGTTTGTAAAAAAATTAATTCTAAAATAAAGCCAGCGTCTCTGCCGCTCGACCCAAGCAAAATGAACGTTATTAGTACGGCAAAAATTTGAATTCGAGATGAGGTAGTATCCACCATTCCATCTTAAGAAGTGTTTTTATCTTCCTTACCTCAGATTTGTCTAATGTAGGGACTGTCCGTAGTAGATGGAATGTCCGTAGATCCCATACTTCTGTATTTGATATTACCTGCAAAGAAAATAAGGAATGAAATATAATTATATTTTATCAACGTATCAAATAATTGAGTATCGGGGTACTGATATTCACATCGCGATATTGAGTAAACTTAAGTTACAACTCTACACAGCCGCTGGTAGCTGTAAAGGTACCTGGGTGAGTGAAGAAAAACTTTCATAGTTTTCTCGCAGATGGCGCTACGGAAAAAAGTCGTTAAAAACAAAAACACGAAATCTGCAACAGCGCATTGAAACATTCGTAAGGTCCTGTGGTGCTGAATGTCAACAGGAATTTTATTATAGTAGTTTATTTAAAAAAATAGAAAAAATTTTAAAGAGCTAAACGGCTCACTACTCTGGATTTTTGCTATCCAAGTACGCAGAAGATAAAATCGTGTAAATATAAACATTGTATGGTAAAGTATATACAAAAATATGTATTTCTGTGATTATTTTTGTATCCGGGTACATGTTTATAGATTATTAATTAATACAAAGATCAAATACAATGAAAAATCCATTCGATCCGGCTGACTGGCTCGAATTAGAGCCTTTAGCATACGTGACTCACGCTCTCCCAACTGAAGTACGGAACGAACCAGCAGACTGTGTGAATTTTTCTATGTGGCCGTTGCAGATTTTTGGTTTGGTTTTTTATGGCCTTTTTGCCGTAATGCCATCTGTGAGAAATCTATGAAATTTTTTTCTTTGTCATGTTATTTTTTTTTTATAATACCAGGTCACGGGACGAACAAGTCGTGTCCCTGTTGGAAGCGACACGCTTATCCGTAACAGTTGCAGTGCCACTCAGAACTTTAAATCGCAAAGTACGCACTGCCACTGCGCCCGTCACCCTGAGACATAAGTTGACAAATCTCATGTGCCTGTAATTTCACCAGTACATTGTGATACTTAATAACCTTAATAAGAAAGGAAATGTTCAAACTTACTTCTAAGCCGTTAGGGTGGAATACACCGCTGTGTGTTTGATTCAGCTTGTCGAACTTGTGGATTTCTTTACCAGTATTTACATCCCATAGAACGCCATCTGTGAATTAAAATATATATTGAAATTGTGATAATTGTAAAACAGTCTGAGGTTAACCCTAAAAAGAATATGGTTTTGTTTGTTGACATTTTGTTATACATCGAATTTAGCCAGATTATAGTTTGTTTATACCATAGTTTCTCAAAGTGGTCCCTGCAGCCCCCCAGTGGATGCAGAAGAGTCCTAGTGGGGCAGTACGGGCATCGGAAGAAATCGGGGGCGTTAATGATGTTCAGGGGATGCTACCCCAAAGGAAAAAAAGACCTGAATTATCTACATAAACTACACTACATTATCGTCGCCTTACTTTCTCGAACTTGTATCTTATAAAGAGTTATTATTCGGGAGATGGCAAAACTTTAAATTTCTTATAAAGGGTGTTAATTTGTTTTATCTCGATTCCCACCGGCTTGCCTAAAATTTTCCACGTACCTGTTACCACCGGTAGCGCACATACCCTATCACTTAAAAAACATTTATTAAAAATATTCACTATTAAACGCGTAATTACCTGTCCTGATGCATCTCAACCAATCGATGCGAGGTAAGCCGGTGGATCTGCGGTTTTTATTTCATTAATCAAATCTACGCGCCTCCATCAAAATATACGCGCACATTCGAAAAAAATCCGCATATAAAGAAATGGCGGCCAAGAAGCCGGAATAAATAGAGTCATTGTCGAATAGCGTTCACTTAAATATAAACCTTATTCCAACACATTATAGTTGAATTTGTTTTGTCAGAATCGTTGCCAGATGTAAAACTTTATTTAAAAAATGTAACAAAATTATTTTAATAGCAAATTAATACAAAATATGGTCAATTTCTATTTTGTAAATCTCAACGATAAATCGTGTCACATATGTATCTATATCCATTTGGGTGTTTCTTTTTAATAGGGCTACGTATGTAGAAGGTCATCGTAATTCGTAGGTAATTAAAATAGCAACACTCAGCATTCATGAGTTTTTTTACAAACTTTTGTATCGCGACGGGCAGCATAAAATGTAAAATTACTTTAAAAGCTATACTAATTTTATGTGTAGAATAAGTTAACCTGTCAACTGAAGTGAACTAGTACCTTGTGTACGAATAAGTGTTGTGCTTAAATGTCGCCAAGGCAACTTTTTAACGGGAAAAGAAATTTTTGTTAAAGTGTTTTTTCTCTCTTTAAAAAGTGAAAGCTTCGGCTTTTACTTTAAACCATAAAATGAAAAAAATATACTATATATAAGGTAATCACCTGATAAAACCAACTCGTCCGTAGGATTAAACGTAGCTCTATTCTTGGCATATTGGTTACTCATGGTGGGGCTGAGGGTCATTAGTTCCCTCCCAGTGCGTGTGTCGAAGATTGTTGCCGTTTCTCCTTTGGTGCCTATTATGCGATCGTCGGTCATTTTTGAAAACTCCACGTATTCTTCGTTGTCTAGTTGGAATCTGGGGACAGGAGCGTGTCAGCATCATGGTAATATATAAACTATGGTTACCTATTACAATCTGGAATTTGTTTTTCCGAAATAACATTTGTTCGAATTTTTATTACATCGAAAACCGAATTATAATGAAACGTTGTTCTTTCAGGATATGTTGAATGTTTATCGCAAAGACACGATTAGGTTCGGTTAGGATAACTTAGGTTTAAAAGAAAAAGCATTTTCCTCTTCAAAATTACTTTCGAGGTTATGAAAATTCAAGCAAACGTTATTTCTGGAAAATGTCATTAAACTATATATTTCCCACTGAGGGGCACGAGCTTCCCTTAAGAAAATGACTCTTGAAACCCCGACTGGGGATTTCGAAAACATTTATTAAGCCTTCCCAAAATTCAGGTTTTATGATGATATCTTCCTTCAATTATAAGATGCTTCTTATAATATCACGATGTCTTCCTTCAATTATAAGATCCATCTTATAATATCACGATGTCTTCCTTGAATTATAAGATGCATCATCATCGTGATAAAGAGATTGAAAAACATGCCTTGTACTAATAAATATAAGTTAAAAACTAAAAAAGCAAAGTTCTACAACACATAGAAAAATTCGTAAAATTCGCTAGTTTGTTCCGGCTTCTGACACGGTGTGCTGGAAGACGTTAACTTCGAAGCCAGCCGGATCGAAACAATTTTTTCGTAGTGTTGGATCTTTGTATTAATAATTATAACAAACTTATGGAGTAATTTCTCAAAAGTAATTGAATATCATGGCGGTCAAATATCGTGACATTTAATCAACTTAAAAATTATAGTACTCTGATATAAGGTGATATTTATCATCATCACCATCCCATTTATACATGTACGTCTCACTGCCGGACACGGGTATAGGTATTATGTTCAGATGTTGTGAGACCACCTTGATGAACTGATGGTGCATTACAGTACCAACTGTTTTCTCCGTCTGATACCATGGTATAATATGTAAATAGTAACTTACAAATACTAAAATAAATCAAGGGAATCTATTAAGGCTGCCTTAGTGATAAGTAGATGCAGAGCCAACGGAGGGTCCGTAAATATATTATATTATTAGGGAGAACTATTGAATCCAATTTTTTTTTTAAATGCAAAACGCTATAAGTAAAGATTTATTGAAATAATTAAGAATCAACAAAGCAACGAGAGAAGCTAAATGATCGTGAGTTCGACGGCAAAGAATAGGGAGCGCGCTATTTTTTTTATGAAGGATATTTTGCAATTGGCCACTGATGGTCTTGATTACGCCACTGGAAAAAAGGGCGTAAAACTTCGTAAAAAAAACGGACCTCGGGTCAGGGCGCTTCTGAAGACTTCCGCCCGCCAGAAGGGCGTGATATAGGAGAGAAATGAGAGAGCGCGCTGCCGGCGTGGCGGGCTTAGATACAACTGTCCCCTCCGTTCCCTTCATCGAGTGGCGTGATGTTGCGGGCCACGCCCACTAGACTAGGGTTTTCTCATGGTAATATTTTTATGATACCAATGACGTAACGCACCAGTCGTGTATTTGGTGGTAAGTGCCACGCCTGTCCATACCAGTTGCAGTGCCACTCAGAGCTTTAAATCGCTAATATCTAAGGAGCATTGCCACTGCGCCTGTCACACTGACATATAACTTGACAAGTCCTATGTGCCCGTAATCCCACCAGCACCCTTACCCTTCTAAACCGGAACGCTGTAATGCTCACATTATTGCATGGCGGCAGAGGTATGTAAAAATATTGTACGTACAGCTGTTCAAACTCCTTCATGTTCCAAAGGGCAGAGAGCGGCCGCCACGTCGTCGTCGCAGATGCCAGTAACAGCAATCCATCTCTACTCGCCTGAAATAATTACCATATTACATTGACTTACAATTATATGGACGTCGCTAAAAAGTGTCCGAACTTATAGGGCGTTTAAATCGTATACAGAGCGTCATTCACGCTTTAGTTTTCGTTTGTTCGACTGACAGCGAAGCAAGCAAAATTTAACAGTACTGCGATGACATTACAATTTAATTCAACGTTTTAGCTTTTTCATATTCCTTTACATATCACTACGTTTAAATAGGTTGACTTGAGACATTTCTTTCGTGGTTTTTGTATTAGACCCGTCGTCCATTTATTTCTAAGTCAATGCCATATTACCATTTTTTTTTTGTTATATAAGTGACGGGACGAACAACTTGAGCGCCTGATGGTAAGCTACAAGAGTGTCCTTGACAATTACAGCGCCACACAGAGCTTTATATCCCAAAGATCTGAGGAACACTGCCACTGCGCCTGTCACCCTGAGACACAAGTTGATAAGTCCCAAGTGCCTGTAATTTCACCAGCACCCCTACCCTTCAAAACCGGAACACAGTAATGCTGACATTACTGCTTGGCGGCAGAATAGATAAGGTGGCAGTCCTGAACGAACTCTTTCACAAGTAGCTCTACTGCTACTAAACTGGTATGCGATTGGTATCTAAATCGTGAATGTAATGTTTAATTTAATGTTTTCTTAAACTTCTTTACAAGTCCCTTGGTTACAGCTGACTGAGAAGGTAAAGTCTAAACCGAGAGGACTGAAAGTTCAGTCCGGTTGCGCCCAGCCACACCAACGACGCTGCTGTACCTTTTTTTAAATATTTTGTAGGCAGCAAACAAGCATACGGCCCGCCTGATGGAAAGCGGTCATCGTCGCCTATGAACGCCTGCAACACCAGAGGCGTCACAGAAGCGTTGTCAACTTTAACCTAGGACCCTTTCAAACACCTTTTGAAGGACTCCATGCTGTATTTCTGCGGGGAAAACTGCAGGGAGTTCATTGCACAACCAAACTATATGTGGGAGGAAGCTTCTCTGCAACCATACAGCACGAAATCGACTCGGTTCAAGAGTGTGAGAATGGACTCCCTGTTGGTGTACCTGACTGCGTTACTGCAGTCTGAGGAGATAGTGGAATACATCAGACTAAAAGTCAATACACCGTGAGAGTCGAGCGACCTGCCGACCTTCATTAAGAAGAAGTTGTGGCCGAAGGGTGTCGTATATCGGCGATTCGGCGGCCGGTTTCCTGACACCAGATTCCGTCACACGTCACCGACAAGTGCAATACGTGTAGATTTAGTTTTTATATTACTCGTATATGTATGTTAGTCATGGGTCACAGTTGCCTGATGTAAACGAATAAACAAATTAGTGAAGGTATTTTATTTTATACACAAAGGCCTATTGTTCATTTCGACGAGGTAGTTAAAATATAATAATTATAACAATGCACACACTCAACATAGCCTCGCACTTGGGAAACCCTCTGTCGCGGGCGCCATGGATATACACATAGACAACCACAAATTACATCCAAACTCACGAGAGAAATAAATGTAGGCCATACAAATATTACTCCCGGCCCGGGAATTGGAACCTGTGACCCTCTGCGTGGCAGTTCGGCATGGTAACCGTTCGGCCACAGAGGCAGTTAATATAGACGACTAACCTATTTTTTAAAGCGTTTAAAAAATATTGATACATACCTGCATATGGTATATGTAGGACTCGTGAACCTGATATGAATTCTCTTCGGTGCCGCTAAAGAGGTTGAATATTCTGATGTCGCCTGCAGATGTCGCTGCTAACAGTTGTTGTTGCGTTGGCTGTTAAAAAGATAATTAAATTTTATCATAGACATCATAAGTACATTATTAATAACAGTCAATAAAAATAGAAGTAAATTAATTTGCTCGCATTTACTATGGGTATTTTCGGGTTTCTACAATAGCAACACTGGGGGTAGCGGGGTTTAAATACACCAACCGTTCTGAACGAGCTTACTCTTCGGTCGAGTGTCGAGCAGTCAACAGCCCCTAAGGTGTCTCGTGGAGAGACAAAACACGTATCGAGTATATTTTTGGTGGTGGTTTGTGACTGTAGTTGCGCTTGTGTTATTAATTTTATGCGAAGGGTGGGTGGGATAATTAACTGCATGAAAAAATATTCAACACAAGCGCAGCTATTCAGCTTATTTTATTTATTTTTTTATATTATTATTATTATTTTATTCACGATTTAACCTTCACTGGGTCCGCGGAGTAGCAAATTAATTTACTTCCATTTTTATTAACATGGACATCCGGAAAGTAACGCCTGAATCTATTAATTACTTAATAATAGTTAGCCTACCTACAGCCTGTATTACAGCCTAGCTAACCTACAGTCTGTATTTTTTGAAGACGTAATAAAATGACAGTTCTAAAGTGTTGCCCGCTTGCGAGCAGCTAGTGATTGCAGTTGATAAACATTCTATAAACTATCGACTGAATATTGGTCACGCTTATGGAATATATAGCCGAACTGGTTTCATTCGAATCATCCTCGACCCGTTATTCATCCAATTGCTGTACACAAGTTCATTTGAATTGTTAATTTTTGTGAGTTCATACATACATACAAACTATTTAGAACTACATTTATGAAAAATACAAATTGTTTCTCATTTTAACTCAATTTAGATAAACAAATCCGGCTATTCTTCTCAAAATGTTTATGAATAAAAATAGACCTCGATACTAGTAGGCCAACTGTCGAAATTAGAATAAAGAAGGGAATAACGCAATTGAACGTAATTAAGCAAAAAGGATCCAATCCACAAAATTATCAAAAAATTTGTTACATGTACCAAACGGTCCCTAAAGTCTAACCTCTTAAATTAGTAAAAAAAATCCAACACATAAACATAAATAAAGATCTCTGGAGTTACATAACAGTATAAGTTTTAAAAACAAAAGAAGAGTGAGAAACACTTTTAAACTTCAAACTGCCATTTCTCGAAAGTGAGTGGATGTGGATTGGATCCTTTTGGTTTAACTACGTGCAATTAGTAATCATTAGAATTCAGTCATTTTTGGTAAAATTTTATCTTCTTTCACAATCTATCGATAAAACTATCGATAATAACTAAATAACATAACTATATAAATTTTATGAAAACTGGCAACCCTACAAATGTCATTTTACTTCATCTTCCGAAAAGACTATAACTAATATTTGTAAAAAATACGGCACTTTCGGGGTAAGTTCTTTACTGTCTCACACATGTTTAGCAGTATTTAAGTAGGGAGTGTTTTTTTTAATATTGTACCTGTTTTTTATACTATTTTTATTGTTACAGCCTTTCTTTCTTCACCATTACTTTATACAATAAATTCATGTGGACCGAATAATCTATTATTATTGGTACCTATCGGCGGTTCGTCCAGGGAAGTACTGTGACCTTACCTATTTCTGTCGCCAAGCAGTAATGTCAGCAATACCATGTTCCGGTTTTGAAGGGTTAAGGGTGCTGGTGAAATTGAAGGCATATGGGACTTATCAACTTACGTCTCAGGGTGACGAGATCTTTGCGATTTAAAGCTCTGAGTGGCACTTGTTCGTCCCGTCACTTGACATTATAAAAAAAAACACGTAATAACTCACGTGGAAGATGGTGTGGGTGAAGTAGGAGTCGTCGTCCTGCAGGCGCAGCGTGCGAACGGGCGCGAAGTGCGAGTGCACCAGTCGCGAGTCGGCGCGCCGCCCGCCGCAGCCGAAGCCCAGCTCGCGCCGGGCGACGCGTGCGCACAGGTTCAGGGCCTCGCCCGCGCCGCACACGGCTGACGCGCCGCGGGGGTCCGGACACTTGTGAGGCCTGGCGAGAGACGTCCCGTTAACCGTACGGAAAGACTTGTGGTTGTGGACGAATGGGTCAGAGAGCAGCAGAATTAAATAAATAAAGCTAAATAGGAAAACCCTGAGTCGGGGATGCCATGGACACACACATTCAACTCCACAAATTACACCCAAAACCACGAGAGAAATAAATGTAGTAAGGCCATACAAATGTTTCTCTCGGCCAGGGAATCGAACCCGAGACCTCTGCGTGGCAGACCGGCACGAAATCGTTCGGCCACTGAGCAGTTATTAAATATGCGCTTGTTCACTAACATGACTGTTTATCCCATTAAGGTACCAATACAGTTAAGACATTGTAAAAGACTTATTCAAATCGTGGACGGCATGAACACGTGAACTGTTAATGGTGATTCTTTTTTTTTTTTGGAAAGTGTGCTGGTACCTCAGAAGTGGTCCCATTTAAATTTCATGAAAATATTCCATCTCTAAGGGTGGCAAACTAAACTAGGATATGAATGACTTTTGAGGTTGGTATTTTTAGTACTCTGCACTGAGATTATTAATTATTAATTAAATACAAACGTAATACGCTCCCACCGGCTTCCACATCCCAAAGCAGTTTTAGAAGTCAATTTTTGGAATAGCCTTCAGTGCACTCGTCGCATTTTTTTTAAATCGTCTCTGTATCGTCAAACCGACGCCCTTCGTATTTGAAGAGCGCGGAATTTTCAATCTTGGGGACGTGGTGCACAATGAATACGCTTCAAGAAAGCAGACGTTCAACAAAGATTTTTTATTTATTTATTTATTTATTCAAACGTAATTGCACACAAAACAGTATATATGGCTTAATGCCATTAGGCATTCTCTACCAGTCAACCGGAGAACTGGGTACAAAATACATTATGTTAACAATATGGCTAACTATATACTTATACAAGCAACCTATATACACATAAATACATAATATATAATACATACACATATATATTTAAAATACAAATTTATTTATAGCAATGTCAGACTAATGATATGTAGATCGAGACTCCAATATGAAATCGCGGACTAATTGCTTGATAGCTAGCTTATTCGGCGCTTTTATATGAATATGGGGCGGTAGAGCGTTCCAGAGTCGTATTGCCTGAAGAGTAAAACATGAGTTGAGAAAGAAAACCCTTAAGGTGAGAAGGAATTAAAAGCGCCAATTTGCTGTCTGAGCGAAGATTGCTATTATGGGATATTGAAATTTACATTTCAAATATCCAGGTGCACATATATCAATAATGATAGAGTAAAGAGTGGAAAGTATTCTCAAATCATGACACTGGCGACTCGTAAGTCTCTTCAGCTCATTGCGACATGCGGACACGTGATCAAGTTTACGAAGACCACAAATAAAGCGATTGCAACTATTGAGCAAGCGATCCAATTTGTTGAGAAGTTCCTGGTGCAATTCTGAAAAGCTTGCGGTGTCGCTGTACCAAGAAAGAAAACGACGATTACGTACAATCCACTTTTAGTTGAAACACAGTACATTCGAAACTACTATTATTTAATGTAAAGATAATGTCACATAGTAGGTATACTTACTGAAACAAATTGAACTGCGGGCAAGTGACAACGGGGTTCTTGCACAAGGCGTGTTGGTTATACAGGTATTCGGTGATGATGGTGTGAAGTGTCACCCTGTGTTGGGGCTGCAAGGGTTCACCGCTCGTGCAACTGCTCATTTGCTTCTGGAGGCTCCGTTTGTGCTCCGCCACGGTGGGGACTGGCACCGTAGACACTGGTGGAGGCTGTTGGACTTTTCTGTGGAAAAAATATTACGTTAAGTTTCATTCTGTACTCTCAGATTATAGGTTTTCGCGATTTGATTAACATTTGATGAATTGTTAAATAGCGTACCTTATTTTAATTACCGACGGCAACGGACTGTCCTCTGTGCTCATGTTGAGGTGGTTGTCCATACTGTCGCGGTGGAGGGAGCCGGTGCTGCTCGTGCGGGACACAGACAGACGAGGCTGTGGAACAATATTTTATTTCGTTTCAATATACTTTTTTATATCAGTAGAGGTCTTTGTGAAAGAGTTCGTCCAGGGAAGAACTGTCACGTTACTTGTTTCTGCCACCAAGTAATATGAACATTATTGAACTACGGTTTTTCCGTTCCGTCCCGGATTCGCAGGCATTATTCACAGCGTCTAGCAATGTTTGCTAGGAGACGCTGGTTCGAATTCAACCGGATCGAAATGGTTTTTTTTCTAAGTTTTCGATCTTTGTTTAATAACTATAACAAACTATACTCCGCCCGAACGGTTGTTCATTTAACTTTTGACAGCTCGAATTTCAATCAATTAGTGATGTCCTAATGCGTTTCTGATTCGGTTTTTTATAATTATTGATTTTACATATGAAGAAGTTTTAATCGTGAATCGTGAGCGGGTTCAAAATTCATATTGTCTGTTGTTCGGGTTCATATTGTCTGATTGGGGTCGTGATGTTGCGTTTGAAATTTATGTACTCAAGATTTAATAATTAATGTTAAGGAGGATTCAAATGATGATTCCCGTTCGTATGGAGAAGAATTCGACGACTCATTATAATAAACTATAAGAATTCATTTACTTGGTACTTGGTGCAACAGGCTGGTATCCGCAACTCGACGACAAAGCGCCTATTCATTTAATTTCATTACAATTGATTAGACAGGTACCAAAATTTATTAACTTGAATAATTTTCGTTATATAATCTGTTGACACGATAAATATCGGAGTTAAAGAGGCCAGGAAGTATTGCATTTTTTTTGTTTATGGTTGTATAAAAAAATAATAAATAATAAATAACGCACACACTCAACATAGCCCGCACTAGGGAAACCCTGTGTCGCGGGTGCCATGGACACACGCATAGACAACCACAAATTACACCCAAACTCACGAGAGAAATAATTGTAGGCCATACAAATATTTCTCCCGGCCCGGGAATCGAACCTGGGACCTCTGCGTGGCAGTCCGGCATGGTAACCGTTCAGCCACGGAGGCATGCATGTGTCAAAAGTTAAATAAATGGTTGGACGGACTATGGAATAAGGACGCATCGACATTTCCCGTAATTATACCAAATAGATACTGTTTTTTTATATTTTAGTGTAACCGACAGAATCAATATTAAAAAACAACGTAAGTGTGGAGTAATTTCACAAAAAATAATTGATTATAATCGTGTATAAAGGTTTCATAGTAGATCCTGATATACAACAAAACTTAGTTAATTACAATTATTAAAGTAACATCTCCAGTCAGCGGCTGGTAAGTGTAAAGGTACGTCGCAGAGTGAAGAAAAACTTTCATAGATTTCTCACAGATGGCGCTGCGGCAAAAAACAATGTTGTGTCTTCACCGACATCAGTGAAACAGCGTGTTTATGGAACGCTGAATCTAGTACGCTAGTACATAGATACCGTTACGTTTTACAAACAAAATCATTACATTTGTAATTGACCCTCGACTCTGACGCTTGCAGTAATAAGCGAATTTGCTAGGCTCGTGGGCCCCGGGTAAGAACAAGAACAAGAGGGAAAGGCCACCACAGACCACATAAATACTAGTAATAGACTGGTTAGTGGGCGGGGTCCGCGTTACCTAGCTTATGAACAGACTTTCATATGAGTGTCAACAGCGCGTCAGTCGTCGTTCAAATGCGATACATGATTATTTTGTGGAAAAAATAGAAATAATTTAAAATATAATAATAAAAAAATATAAAAATAATAAAAATACAAAATTGTGCCATTATATCACGTCGCGTAAGAAGCCAAAGTTTAAAAAATACTCCGGGAGTGATTTCATTTCATCGGTAAGTACTAAAACTCTGTATTTTCTAATAATTTGAACAATACAATACTATAATTTCGAAACAAAACTATTTTCTTGCAACCCGGTAATAACAATATACATTGCTTGCTAGCCATCGCCGCCGTCAAAAGAACAATTCGAATGACGCTCAATGAATTGCTTGCACTAGTGTCGTATTGCACTTGGTACTGGGTCGCGTGTTGTAATCAAATTATCAAGGCAATTATGTAGAAACTCTGTATTTAGAAACCCGGTTTTAGTTCAGTTCAACATTTTTTTTATTATAGCAGTACCAATGTGTAAACATAAATTGTTTACAGGTATTTAAAAGCTAACAATTTTGGTTACTTAAATGTTTGGTCACAACACTCGCAATAGTTTTTTAAAATTTTCAATTGAAGTAAAAACGTGTTAATAGTGGTAAAATGTATTAATGAAAAAAAGGGAAATATAGATAGAAGAGGTAAGCTCGTGGAGTATTAAATGAAGACTTTATGATTGGAGATTTTCTTTCCCTTATCTACATGATTCCTATCTCCTTACTTGCTTATTATATTGCGTCACCTTCATCCGTTTGAGTTCTTAGTTTTATCACAGGCATGATTTACATTTGCAGTTTTTGTATTAATTTTTTTTAGTTTCTCGCCGGATCCTTTTTAAAGGAGAAATGGGCTGAAGAAACAGGCAATAAAAGCGGATACCTACTAAATGTAGCAACATTTGCTACAGGCATTTTATGACATCACATTAAATTATATACATATCAATAACAACCGAAAAAATCATTAAGAAATAAATCAATTAGTTAATCAGGACATGAAACTCAGAGTCTTCACAAATTATAGACCACATCTAAATGTGAAAACATTTATGAAGCATTGTCAGTTATTTTTCATCAAGTTTTCATGAAACAAATGATTCGCTTCTACGCCTTCGGAAATAAGTATCTTCATTTTCTTGACGCTATAGGTGCAGTCATGTTCAGCCAGTTCAGAAAGAGGTAGTAGTTGTTGAACAAATACATCATATTTCAGGGAGAATAAAGATTTTTATGATGACTGTGTTTTAATATTTCAACCCTTCCAGTGATCGGATTGACTTGAAATCTGGTAGGTTAATGAAAGTACGATGACAGTATAATAAATCATTAATACTGTAATTGTAGCATGTAGCTACGTTTACGCACACGCCTGCGTAGCTAATATCAATTAATATTTGCGTGTAGTAAAATCTTATGCGTATTTGGTAACAAATGTGTGCGTGTAAAAGTCAGCTACGCTAGTTCCCGAAGGAATCGCTTTAAATGCCGTTTCCATATTCTCCGTGATTAACCCTAATTATAGCAGGTATAAAGCAATGCCTAGTTCAATATTCCGCTAGTTATGAAACATAATGTCGATATCAATTAAATGTCACATCCCTATCTGTAGATTGTCAACTTTTTTTGATTGCTTTTGTTCCAAGAAGGTAATGTTCATAGGATTCTTAGCTTTTATGTGACTAGTAATAATAAAACCTTATTAGATCCAAATAAGTTTAATTTGTTTTTACCAAAAGTTTTTTATTATTGTCTATTTTCGTTTGATATTTTTTAACTAATCAAAATTGTGCGTGTGACCACACCGGTTTTGATACAAATGTTGCTTGATGCCATTTACATTCTTTTCTTTCGTATGTGGGCAGCACTCACCCCACACAAAAACAATGGAAGTGCCTAAAGCCTCGATTACTATCAGAAGTCCTATCGCCAAAACGCACACAAACAAATGATAAACTAAAACACTATGAAATTTTGATGATGTTTGATCGCAGTTTCTAATTTAAAAAGATATAACAAATTCTGGACTGTTAATACAATTTAAACTTTACCCTTTCCTAACGTGCTGCCTGCCATCTTGCGGCTAGTGGCTGGACTACGACGAACGACTAACATCGACGACGAACGAACAGAAAGTAGTATCTGCTCGATAACAGATGTCTTCTTTAACGCACACGTTGCATAATGAACTTCATTTCGATCACGTAAGTTTAAAACTAAAAAAACACTCATTAAGCATTTTTTTGTTCGCTACTAGCGTGGAAAATTCGAGATCTTTACCTAGTTCACCAAAAGATGAAACTCGACCATATTGCATTGGGATAACGTTTACTTTCGTTTGTTACAATACAAAAACCAATTCAGAAAATTTATTAAAGACTTACCGATGATATGAAATACCACCACGGGTAATATTCTTGGTGCTATCATTTTTGCACTCCATAATAGAACAATAAGACATTTTTCTAGGATTTTAAACAATTTGCGCGAAAGAATGACACAACCATACCGTACAAAGCGATAATGGCGGACGAGATCAAGTAAGGGCAACTGTCCATACCGTGGTCACGCGTGCGATGCTAACTGAGGCTTAAGAGTTAAACTTAAGATGAAACGGAGGACTTGCTGGAAGCTGTTTCATTATTTTTATATAGTTAACCATTAATTTATAACTACTAATAATTTTATTGTAAAATATAAGAAATCTTAATAATTAAAAAACCTAAAAACATAAAGAAATTTGCCCAAAAAGATGCCTTCACTGTGTTATTTCTTTTGTTTTTTAGGTTTGATTGTTTATTTTATTTTATTTTTTCTGCGTGTTGTCATTTGTGGTGCCCAAATAAATGAATTTTCTTTCTTTCCTTCCTTCTTTCTTTCTAAAATACAGGTACACATTTACTTAGTTTAGGCATCGCAATTACGGTTACTATGAAGAATGTATAATTTAGATTCCCTTTTTAATGCTTATTTTAATACTATAATAGCTTTATTTACATTGGTTTTACTTGTATCGTTAAGTTATATTGAAATAAATTTATCTTTATCTTTAACTAACCAATTCTACTAGTATTTATTGTTCTGTGACTGACCCGTACGGGCGTGGAGGGCGCGTAGACGGGCGGCGGCGGCGGCGCGGGCGCGGCGGGCAGCGGCGGCGGCAGGCTGGCCTCGCGCTGCAGCGTGGCCGCGCTCTCGGGCAGCCCGCGCGCCGCCAGGTGCGCCGCCACCAGCTGCAGCAGCTGCCGCTCGTTGTAGTTGATCCGCGTCTGCGCCACCACGTTTGCCTGCGGACGTCGCACAAGGTATATTGCAACATAAAGAGCACAACGGGACGTGCAATTGTGGAAAAAATCCTAATACATTGCAGTTTTTATTTGGTGCGGTACACTTGTGGTCCTTCTTTAGTAGGCCGTGAATATCGAACGAGCGATCTTTCGCATAATGCATGCAGTTTCGTGGTACGGCCGCTTCGTCATGTTATTGGTCAAATTTTACTATTAGTGATGTTCACTTGAAGCAACACAGTTCTCGATTCTGATCGATTTAGGAAACATAGGGATAATAATTCTAAAGACCTTAGAAAATGTTATAAAAATATTCTATAAAGGTCGCTATTGTTTTTTTTAGTTTTCCGGAGAAACTCTTTTTTTCAAAACACGTACTAATAAAGGACTTAATTATCGTATTCGGGTATTATTTTACTATATTAAGATTCCACGGCTCTTTATAATCAAAAAAGCATTATTGTAAATACGTGCTGCGACTGCATCTTCGATTTAAACAACCGCCTTAGTGCCGGAGGTTTTCTATCACTATTAGCCCGTTGTGACGTCATCGGAGGCACAAAAATGTGGCACACTTGGTTTTCATACAGATTGACGCACTTGCGGTGTCTATTTAGATGTAGTTAGTGTTTAAATCTAATATACAAGGATCTCAGGAAAATCCGTAAGATCTGCTGGCCAGATCCGTAACTCTGTTAGTAAGAGTTATAGGCACGTTGTAGCAACAGACACTGGTTCAAGTCTGAATGAAGAATGTTTCTTTGTGTTTGTTCGATGTCCGTATAAAGAATAATATTTTATAGATAGCTTTTTAGAAGCCATAGCAGTATAGTTACAGTCTCTCATGAAACCGGACTTGAACCTCGTGAATTGCTCGGAATTTATGTGCAAAATTCAATATGCAATTTTAAACATTTCGGTGAAGGAAAATATCATAATGAAACCTGCACGTTAAAGAAGGTTTACAACCCTCAGAAGACTTGTGTCCCCAACCCGTATTGGGCCAGTGTGGCGGACAACGGCCAAAACCATATTTTCCCAAACTGGTCCTTACCTCCTACGACTTTTCAGCGCCAACTGGGGGGCGCTGAAAAGTTCTAGGAGGGCAATAGGGGCCTCAGACGCAATAGAGGGGCGTTGATGCTGTTCTGGTGGTGCTACCGCATTTGAAAAAAAACCTGAATTATCTATATAAAGTACAGTACATATATTTTTTTTTCTCAAACATGCTCGGAAATGTTTGCATTACTTTCAAAAAGCGAACACGGAAAGTTTGCCATTTATGGACCGTGTGACTTCTTCCCGGCCAAGGCCTGCAATGTATGAAAATCCATTACTGTCCTCTTTTCTAAACTTTTAAATTTACCTATTAATAATGAACTACCTATGTAAATAGGCCAAAGAAAAACTCATACAGTTAACTGCCCAGTGTTCGTAATTTCAAGAATTAAAAATACCTACCTGTACCGCTTACTTAAAAAAAAAGAAAATGGCGGTAACATTTAAACTAGTGGCCTGGTTTTTGGTGTTTGTGTTTTTCGTCTTTTTTGTATTTTAGGCGCGAAAATGAGTGATAGTGAGAAGAGCAAAAACGAAAATACAATAATAGATATACATTCAAACACATGATGTGCATGAAAATACAATTACATTTTCTTTTAGCAATTTTCCTAACACGCAAATATTACTTTTAATATTTTCCTGTAATCTTTTATTATGTCTTCATATTGTTCGAGAAAAATACTACACATGCATCGGCGGGAACGGGAATTGCTTAGCAATCCCTTACTTTCCGGCCTCTGCAATAATGTACTATTTCCTTGTGATTTTTAGTGTTAAGTTTATATAAAAAGTACGTGTATTTAATTATTTTTTGTGATTAAGTGGGCGGTGAGCCAAAAAATGTTGGGAACCTATGGCCTAAACCCTCGACTGAGGCGAGACCCGTACAGTAATGGCACGTAAAATGTGTTGATGATGATGAGGTTGCTTTTTAAATACATACCCGATGTATATTAGCCAGTGAAGTCTCGAACTCTGCTCCCATATGTTTGCTCTTCCCAGAGACGCGTTCAAGTAATTCTAGAGCGTATTTCTGAAACATTACGTGCTCTTGTCGCTTCTCTTGTAGAATCGGATCGCGCATTAGCACTGTAACACACGATTAAATAAATAAATATTAGACAACATCACATGCACGTCGTCGCTCTGATCCCAATGTAAGTAGCTAAAGCACTTGTGTTATGGAAATCGGGAACGACGACGGTACCACAAACACCCAGACTCGAGACAACATAGAAAAGTTAGTTTTCTGCACCGGGAGGGATCGAACCCGGGATCTCAAGGATGGCGACAACATGAAAACTGGAAGTCTACTACGGAGGACGGGACCCATGTCCGAAACAAATTACTGTCAAACAAGTAATACTCGATCTGTGCATGCAGCGGAAATGCGAATGTTGTATGATGTGTGGAGTGACGAGATAGGATAAGATAAGGAATGAGTACATCAGGGAAGGTTTGAAAGTGGCGCCAGTGGCAGAAAAGGTGAGGAGTAATAGGTTAGCGTAGTGTGGACATGTCATGCGGAGGGAAGAATGTCATGTGACGAGGCGAGTGTTAGATATTAATGTGGAGGGATATTAGGGGAGAGGAAGGCCAAAGAAAGATGGATGGATTTTATAGACACACGCTTGGCCACAATCGCACCTGATGTTAAGCGACGATGTGACCGACGATGGTACGCGTTTGCCTAAAAAATGCCTATTCACTCTAGCCTTGAATAGCCCCAAATTGTACTTTTAGAGCATTTTATTCCTTTGGATTGTGTGAATGATGACATGGATAAGAAAGGTGAGTGTGGAAATGATGGCTGCTAGGGGAGAGTGGAAGAAAAATACATGTTGTAGCGACCCCACCTAGCATAGAATAAAGACAGAAAGAAGAAGTAACACTCGATCAAATTTAAAAAAAGCATGATGCGAATGAAGCTTCATACTCGACATTGTCTTTCTGATTTGGTCGAGTAGTTCACAGTAATTGTTTCGGACTGATGTCGGACAAAGGATGGGAGTAGAACCCGCGATCATCCATTGAAATACCATAAAAATTTATTTGACATTAAATGACGGGACAAACAAGTCGTACGCCTGGTGATAAGCTACACGTCTACCTATAACAGATGCAGTGTTAAGTAGCACTAAGAAGAGCTTCGCAAACATCTGAGGGACACTGCCGTAGAGACTTAAAGTTGACAAGTCCCGTGTGCCTGTTGATTCACCAGCACCCTTATCCATCAAAACAGTAACGCAATAATTATCACATTACTGCTTGGCGGCGGAAATAGCTATAAGTTGTCATGGAATAAATCGAATAGTTGAGAAAAGCACTATATATACTTCGGCGGGAACGGGATTGCCTGACTCGTATAATAACATATAATGCAACACACTCATAGCCTCGCACTAGGGAAAAACTGCGTCGCGAGTGCCACGGATAACCACAAATTACACCCAAACTCACGAGAGAAATGAATGTTGGCCATACGCATACGAATCGAACCCAGGACCTCTGCGTGGCAGTCCAGGAAGGTAACCGTTCGGCCACGGAGGCAGTTAAACAACAACTACAGGTAATACTCGTCCGGCAATCTTTTACTTTCCGGCCTTTGCAATAATGTAGTTTTAAAAATTAAACCGCTTTGTTTACCTTGTATCTGCGAGGTGGTGAACAGTGGTAGTTTCGATATGATCTGTCGCACAGTGGGACAGCGAGCCAACCCGGCTAGAGCTCGGCACGCCAGACCGCGCAATCGGTCCGCATCGGTTATTGGTGCTTTTACCATCATCAGAGACAGTAGAACCTGTGAAATTCATAAATATAATCATTATATTATCATAATTATTATTATTTCGGCTATCTATTTTAGTATCTCGCGAATCCCATGACCTAAAAAATACATTTTGAATTTTGTTTTTTGAGAGCAGCGGTATTTCCCGGTAATGCCACAGTCGACGGGGGTCAAGGACTCAGACTCAAGAATCAAGCAGCATTTTAACTATATTATTTATTATTACTAATGGTCGGAAAAAGGTGTTCCACATATCGATTGTGAACTCGGAACCGGTACTATCTCCATTTTGACAACTTTACAGCATGAAATCGAAGTCGGATTTTAAATTTATTTTTTACAATCTATCGATAAAACTGGCGACAACAACTACATTACTATTTAAAATTTTGCGAAAACTTCCAACTCTGCAAGTAATTTCACTCTTTAAAAAAAGATAGACCTTTTTCTCGGATCTTTGGCCGGTTTTAACTACATTTACCAACCGAAGCCAAGGGAATGCAGCGTATGGTATTACCATTATTTATTACACCTTTTTGTTACACCTGTGTATTTTAATGTGGCAAGTTACAAATGAATGAAAACGTATCTCACCATTATACCGTTGTTGGTCCGGACGCTCTCCCAGACCTTCTGTATGACGTCCTCGTAGGACTTGAGCGCAGTTTTCTTTTTACTTGACCCCGTTAGCGAGAATCTCGACGACAATGTGCCTGTCTGTAACATTAAAACAATTTTGTAAATTGAAATAATGTGTGTTTTATGCCTTCGATATAATACAATACATTTCACACATCTATAAATAGTTCAGAATACGTCAGAAAAATAAACCTATAGGCTCATTCAGAGCGCAGGCGCGGGTGTGAGCGCGCGGATTTTGGCGATTTCGTCCACACGTCGAAATCTCAAACAGACGCTAGACCAAGGACTGTGAAAGGTAAGGGCGGACAGAGCCAATAAATCTCTAGACGAAATAAGTGCCACCCATCCCTGGCAACTGATCTGGTAAATGGGCCTTATATCACTTTTAAATATCAACCCTTGTTTACAAATTAGAAAACTGAACTAGTGCAGCGCCAACAACTGATCTGTGTGTACGTCTCCGTATATTCCAAAAATATTGTCTAACAATGGGGGGCTGTTCCGTTCTTTGGTGTGGGAAAACATCTAATTACAAACCAAACGGACTCACATGTCATGTAATTTTTCAATTTTCGTCCATTATAGCAAAGCTCAAGTTAAACTGGTCATATTGAAGTAAAACAATTTGACGACACCCGTCAATTGTTTCGAATTCGGGCTGGCCAATCGGAGCGTAGATGTCACCGTAACGATTTGGCAGAATAGTTTTCAAATTAAATGACATTTCATCTCTATTTCTGGTTATATCGATGTAATAGATCTACTCGCGCGGCCCCTGTGAACGCAACGAGCGTCTACGTACATTTGATTTACACGCACCCGAACCCGCACTCGCGCCCACCGCCACTCTGAATAAGGCCTATAAGAGAAAACTTTTGCTTCAAAAATCAAATGCACTGAAAATCGTTAACTCGGGGTGCACGAAATAGATATGAGTGCCGCGTCGGCCCTCCGACAAAGGCAATCGGCGCGCAATTCCGTTCAATTCGATCAGGCGCTACGATCGTACGCTTCAGTATTGTGTATGCGTAGAGAAAATGGCGAAGCCAGACATTGACATTTCTGAGATAAAACTTAGTGACTTTATATTCGAAGATGTTTTGTTTAAAACATTAATATGTCAATTTCTGGCGTCGCATACACAATGCGTTCGCGTGCAAGCGCCTGATGTAACTCATAAAAATTTGATTACTATAGAAAATACGTTATTTAATTTTTTCCTTTCAAAAAGTATTTTTATGACGGTTTTATAAAACCAAACAGTGTTATACAAATTCGTTTCATGGTCGCGCTCGCGTCGCCGACACATTTTCATCGGCGCGCCGTCGGTTGGTCTATTATCGGCGCTCATATCTAGCACGAAAAGAGCTTCCCCGTACGATGTACCATTCTTCTTTCCTGAACGTCTGGCACCCCTTGGCAACAATCGATTAGCAAATTCTTTCATCACGATGGCAAGCATTATTGTGTATGCATCGATACAATAAAAAGACGATAGTTAAAAAAATCTATAAACATAATAAACTCACTCTATGAACGGGTGCGCAGACGCAGTTGACAAGAACATTCAACGCGGCCTTTTGAACTTCGGGCTCTGGTACTATCTCGCCGTCGGCCGCTCCTGTAAACATTTCTTCAAAATATATTCTAGAACGTTCTTTCCTTTGATTATAAAGAAAGAGTGTGAAAATTCAAACTAATGTATAAAACGTAAACTTAGTTGCCTTAAGGTGAGGCTAGACGTACTTTTGTGAGTTGTGAATTACGTTATTTGAGCTACATATTCGATTTCATATAAAAGTCCGGTTTGTTCCAGACGACGACTCAAAATGAGTTATCTGCCGACACACGCAGAATTTAATTACGCACAACTGAATTTCAGTCGTCGTACCGTGTCACGTGCTGGTATGAGTGGAGGAAGGGGTGAGGGAAGTGGTCATTTTGGTATTGGATGCGCATGACACAAACACTTCGTACAAAAGCATAATATCAACTGATTAAAATATTTATTTTACTTGAGGCCCCAACCCAATTTCAATCGAACGTAAACTAGGCGACTCACAACTCACAAAATTAAGCTCGTCTGTCTTCAACCTTATTTTACACTTATAGTTATGTTGTATTTATTGCTCCACAGATATACAATTTTTATACTTTAGACAGTCTATACTTTATCCAGATTCGATGTAGAATAAATGTCAACAAAGAAAATCATCAACAAACATACATACATACATTCACGCCTTGTGTTACTTTCAAGCCCAAAAACAGTTTGTTTGTTCTTGTCAATCAATGGCATTTAAAGGCTAGATAATATTTTTATTATATTCCAAAAGGTTTTCACCAAAAAATGGGACGGGGCTCTCTGTTTGGAAAAAACACTTTAGAGGGACTAGGAAGGCTTCAACATTCCTGAAAGCACGTATTTATATGTATTACCTAATACGATATTGATGCCAGTAGTGAGG